CTTAATTCCTGCCTGTACCCCTAAAATAATGAAAGAGAAAAGGAAAACACAGAAAGCTGTTTACTTCTTAGAGGAGGCTGAGAACACAGGCGTGACAGTCACTTCTTTAACCACCCAGGCTTCCGGGCAGGCAACCTCTGCAGTTCCGACATCTGCCATTCATCTGTACACTCATCTGTTGATTCAATAGCCTCCGTAGGACTTGCTGGCCTTTAAAATCAGCTTGAACTGCTTCCTGTCACCTTTCTTCCCTCTGATATTTTTATTCTCTCTCTAATAATAAAAATCAAGAAAATGCTCTTCCCACCTAGCCCTTCCTGACATGACAGCATTATTTTTTTAGTTGGATTTTAATGCTGTGATAAAGACCATGACCAAAGGCAACTTGGAAAGGAAAGGCTTTATTTGGTTTATATATCTCAGTCACAGCTGATCATTGAGGGAAGTCAGGGCAGGAACTGAGACAGGGCAGGAACCTGCGGGCAGGACCTGATGCAGAGATCCTGGAGGGGTGTTGCTCATATCATTTTGTACACAAATGTTTAAGTTAGGTAACATTGAAATTGGCATCCATCAGAAATCATACTACTGGGTAAAAACAGAAAAAGACCCAGGCTAGGTTCAGACTCACCATACAGCCCAAGCTGGCATTGAACTTATGATTTTCTGCCTTAACCTTCAGAATTTGGGGGATTATAGATATGCACAGATTTAATTTTGACAAAGAATAATTTGATTATAGATGAAAAAAGACTAAACTACTCAAAATTGGCTAATCTTATCTTTATTAGAACACAAACATCTTAAAATAATAGCAACTATTATTTAACTTAGAGCATGTATGGAAACACACACACACACACACACACACACACACACACACACACTGTACCGCTTACAGCTTTAAAAAGCAGAGCTAAAATGGAAACACATGAGATTAAATGAGTAGGGACCCAACTCTCAGAACATCCACTAACACGTCACTTCTTTCTATGTTTATAAATTCATTCCAGGTCTCTTGATTATTTTAACTTTTTAAAGATGTCAAATTACACCCATTTTTCCCTCTTTTCAATTGCTTTTGGCTAAAACACAATTCAGTTTTGATCTGGACAATCTATATAAGGAATTCAGGTATTTTCATAGGTAACAGACATGTTTAGGAAATATAGATACATTCTCATTTATTTTAGGTTGATTAAAAGTCAGTCTAGGCATTTAAAAATAATTATACAATGTGCTGTGTATAAATAAGAAAAATTATTGTATCTGTTCTTGTATTTTTATGGCTATCATTTAATTTTAGCTTCCATTTTTATAAAACCTCATAAATCTACAAGTATCTGTTTACCTGCCAGGTTTGTCCAGTGTGATTCACAAATGTGTCAAGAAAATCTAATAAATCTTTTATTGGTGTGCATTAATATTCTAATTGCAATTTAAGGAACAAAAGAAAGATGCTGCTTTCAGCAGACTGGAATGTTTTAATATGGCATTTCAAATTAGCAACACATTGCTGCCTCTTGTAATGGCTTTACTTTTAGAACATCTATGATGTGAAAACCTAGCCTCACGGGTATCAATCAACCAGCAGCAACTACTGCCTTTTTTCCTTTAAAAATCTGTATTTCCTTCCTTCCTTCCTTCCTTCCTTCCTTCCTTCCTTCCTTCCGCCTCCCTCCCTCCCTCCTTCCTTCCTTCCTTCTCCTAGGCTAGTCTAAAGCTTGCTATGTAGCATAATCTAGCTTTGAAATCCTAATCCTCCTGCCTCAAGTCTTCCACCAGCTGTGTTTACAGGTGCCTTCATGCCTTTGAGATAACCTCACGCTGCTGTATCTCAACCTGCCCTGCCCTCCACGTGGAAAATTCTGTAACTAGATGCCTCCCCACAAATGCCAGCTCACTTCAGGAGTCCCCAGACCAGTCTCTTCTGCGGCACAGTGGCTTTGGACTTTCACATGGACCTTTCACTCGCCATCATCAGAGTTATGATGTACATTGGATGAAACTGAAAATCCCTCCATGGGGAAGGGCTTTGAATAGCATGGCTTATTATTTCTGGGAAAAAAAAATGCTTAAACTGACTATTAACAGTAATTACAAAAAGCAAGCAAGGCTTCCCTCTTGCAAAAGATGTGGTATATTCACATCTGTGCCCTGCTGTCTCAACAACATTAATTATCCTGCCGTGGGAATTCTTAAATAGCAATGACCCACTTGGCTTGCAAGCCTCCCTTTCTTGTATTTATTATACTTTCATTGTTTTGTTTTGCTTTGGTTTACTGTTTCCTGGGACAGGGTCTGGCTATATGGTCTAGGCTCAACTTGGAACTCTTCCACCTTAACCTTCCTTCCGAGTGCTGATTGACAGGTGTTGAAGGCGTTTAGCACCGCCCCCTGCTCTTTTCCTTCTCCTTTTTCTCCCCCTTTTTATGCATTCTGCTGTACTGTGCACTCAGTCTTCAGATGGTTTTTAGTTGCTTGTGACAGTCTTGTTTGAAGTGGTATCTTCATTGTATAAAATAATGGCTTTGGTTGTCTTCTGGGAAGTCTTTCTCTGGGGGGTCAATTCCCCTACGGAATAGTCCATCCAAACATCCTTCCAAGGCAGAAGACGGAACCTCAGAAGGGGAGAGGTTAATATCTACAGAGTTAGAAGGGACAGATGAAGACAGAAATACAACATACAGCAAAATTTGGATTTTTTTTAATATAAAATAGGCAATTTAGTTCTCACCAAATTACAAAGATCGCCAGTATCCAACCCAACATATTATACAGTTCAACCAGACCTCTTTGTTAGAAATTGAGATATAATCCAGATCTAGAGGTTAGGTGTTTGCTTTTTGGGTCTTTTGTTTTGTTTTTGTATTTGGACAAAGAAAGATACACACAATCATCTTCCATTTAGTCATTTATTCCCAGCCTTTGCTCCTAGGGAAATAAAGTCCAGGAAATAGGAAAAACTGCCCCCTCTTCACCCATCTACCTTGTCTTAATATCCACATCTCCAAATGATGTAACCCGAGAGTTTGTTTCCTTAAACACACCTTCAAAAATATAAATTCGAAGGGGTAGGCAAAAGAGATCAACGTTCACTGTATGCTCGCTGAAGAAGAAACAATAATGGCCAACATACTTAGCAAAGATAGCCGCTCTCATTGGTAAATTAGGAACTTCAAAGTACACCCCCCCCCCCCCGTGAACTGCCAGAGCCACCCGGCTGGCAGAGATTTTTACATGGAGTAGCGGCCGTGGAAACTTTGTGGGCGTGTAAGTCTGTATAGCCATCTGAAAACCATTTACAAAAGAGTTTAACTAGGTCATCCCCTTTGACCTAATAATTCCATTCCTAGGTATAGACCTCGGCAAACACTCATACTTGTGCACGAGGGGCACATTTGAGAACTCGGAACAGCCCAGCTCCGGTAATGCACCGTTTTCTTTGACAGTCCTGGCACTGATGGGGTGATAAAGACAGCACCAAGTGGTCAGGGTTGACCCACGCCATGCTGGCTGCTGAGACCTGGGATCCCTCAGAGACCCCTGGGAGACATGAGCCACACCTTCCCCGTCTCCCACCCTCCTGCCCCATCCTTCGGTCACTTAGATCCGTTGAACTGCTTGCAATAACCCACTTACTACTACTTTGGAAGTAAATCAAAACACAATCTTCAATCAAACACGTTCTCCTCCATCAACTCCTTTCTAATCCTGCCTTTCTCACCTCTTTCTTGTATATAATTAACTTAAAAAGAATAGCCAATCTATAGTATATGTAATATATATGTGTATATATACATAATCTGATCACCAGCGTTTCATTTCTACTTCTCTCTAGTATTTCCAGTAGCCCAGCCCCATTGCACTTCGAACTGCACAGCCATTGGGCATGGTTTGGGGATGCTTTGCCAAAGATTAATTACCTTTAGGGAAAGGTCTTTCTGCTAAATGGTGACTCTTTCAAAGAACCTCTCATGCGCATAGCGGGCTGCGCATTCACACCAGGTGCCAGACGCCAGGAGACTCCCGGCTTGGGAAGACACCTATGGGCAGAGTAGAAAGGCTCCTTCCCAGGCTAGGTTGACCAGGTTGCTCACGCCGTGTCCTACAATAGTTTTTTTTTAAAGGGTTGTTTTACACTGCAGATATGTCATGAATAGTAAATGAACTTGCACGAGGAAGTCCGTGGCTACTTGACCCCAAAATGCCCCTTTAGAAAAGCAGCAATGTGCTTCCTTCCTGCCCTTCCCTCCAAGCGCCTCACCTTTCAAAAAGAGGTCAAATAAGAGCAGCCGCTCCTTTTTTTTTTTTTTTTTCCCCTGCAGAAGGAAATTAAATTGTGTTTCCCAGTGTCCTGTCAAGAGGCGGGTTCCTGGAGTGTGGGATAGCGGAAGTGAGGCTGCGCAGGAAATGAGGGGTGCATCTTTAGGGTCAAAAGTCCACCTTCCCCTCGGGTGTCCGGCAGACAATAGCACTTTTACACCTCTACAACTGTGCCCAAGCCCCGCCCTCTCCTCACCACCTTTTAAACTGACAACTGCGTCTCCGAGAATGGTTTCAGACCTTTGCAGGTCTGGGGGTTTGGACAACATCCATCCCACCACATCGTGGTGCAAGTAGCATCACCCTGCACCAAACTGGGCACCAAACCGGAGCTCAACCAGAGAAGGAAAAGAAGGGCGCTTGTACCGCGGTAGGGCTGGGGCAGGCGCGAATGGGACAGGCCTAGTGTGGCATTCCAGGAGGCACAGGGGAGAGTGTCGCCACCTCCACCAACTCGACCACCCCGATCTCAGGCTCTGAAGGCCGAGACACCCTCTCCGGCTCCCACTCAAGTCCCTCCACAGGTGGGAGTGGACCGCCGTGCTTTAATTCCATCCTCGGTCTCAGAGCCAAGTAACTGCGTGGTGCCCTGACTCAGACACCCGGCCAGGGAGCGCGTGTCCCGCGGGGGCGGCAGCGGGTCCGGGTGACGCCAGGGAGCCAGGGGCGGCGAGGTCTCTCGCGGAGACCACGCCAGCCCAGCCCACGTGTGCGCCAGATTTAAAAGTTGGTGGCTAGCGTGCGGAAACGGTCGCTTCGGTGGGTGAGCTCGGCAAGGGGCGCGCCGAACACGCCCAGAACGCCGGCGCAGCACGGCGCAGGGTCCCTGGTCCCCAGCCCAGAGACGCTCGGAGATGCCGCGAGCGGAGGGTCGCTGCCCAGGGCTGTCCGCGGGACAAGCGGCCGCCTCGTCCGCACCCCACGCCCTGTCCCTGCTGCTGCTGCTGCTCGCCTGCTGTGCAAACGCCTGCAGAGGTAAGATGCTACTGGCCCAGGACTGCAGGCGCAGCCAGCCGGGGAAGGTGCGGGGCGCACTGCAGACTCTACAGCGGGAGTTTAGAGTTTAAAAATTACAAATTAAAACACTCTCTCTTGCGTCGCAGTCTGCTGCTCCCCTACCCAAGGGGAGGTAAAGTTGTGATGCGCTTCGCCTCCTGGGAGGCCGGCTATTGGGTTACGGAGTGGAGGAGAGGCCGGGGTACCGGTTTTCGGGGTGAGGGAGCTCCCCTACTCACAGAAGAGTTGAAGCGAGCATGCAAGGCTTATCTGGGTTTCCAGTCGTGGACACGTAGAGTTGGCGAGGCAGGTGGGATCTGACGATCACAGGGATTTCCCGCGCTGGGCTCCTAGGAAACATAGGAAAAGGCAAGATGAGGCAGGGAGGTCTGCAGTCCCCGGGTGAGTGACAGAGCAAAACGTGTCCCTTGATTCTGTAAAGAACGTTTAGTTACAGGTAACCGGGGATGGGGGGTGGGAAGGGGGGACTGTCATTCATTCCTGCGTTCTGAGGGTCCTTCAGCAGGCTGCTCATTTTTTCAGAAATGTTGAGGGCTTAAATATCACAGCTGCAGGGCGCTTTCGGAGCCTCGCCCTCAGAAGATGGACAGAGACAACAGCCTACCTGGTTTCTATTGCCTTCGTTTCATTATTTTGATCTTTGTTCCTGACACGTGGCGGGCTCCCTCCTTTAAAAAACAAGGGGATGGAGACAGTGAGATAGCTCATCTGATAAAAGTGCCTACTGCCAAGCGTGGAGACCTGAGTTCGAGGCTGGGTTACTAGAGCACTTGGGAGGCAGAGGGCAGACAGATCTCTGTGAGTTCAAAGCCAGCCTGGTTGCAAAGCGAGTCTAGGACAGCCAGAGTTCTGTTACACAGAGAAACCCTGTCTCAACAACAAAAACAACAACAACAAAAACAAAAAAGACCCTAGTTCAATCCTCCCGGGATCCACAAGTTGTTCTCTGAAAGAAAGAAAAACCAGATAGCAAGGTGGCAATGATACGATCACATATTAATCTTCTACGTTAGTGATTCACCATGGCTTATGCAAGCTGAATTAGCCTTTTGTTTTTTAAATATTTTTTTTTGAAATATTAGAGTGATAATTTCATTTGCCTTCTTAAGGAAGAAGATCATTATAGTTGTGTGTGTGTGTGTGTGTGTGTGTGTTTTAAGAAAGAATGCAGATTTATCTAATGCCGTGCAGAGAGATCAGCAGCCCAGCAGTAGCACATAAACCACCCGCAGCCAGAGAATTCATTTTTATTTGTATTTGTATTTATTTATTTAACACATACAGGTGTGTTTTGTGTTTTTCTGCATGTACGCTTGTGCAATACATGTGTGCATGGCGACCTGGGAGTCCAGAAGAGGGTGTGGCCTCCCCTGGGACTAGAGTTACAGATGTTTGAGAGCTACCATGCAAGTTTTGGAAATCGAACCCGGGCTCCTTGGAAGAACACACGGTGCTCTTAGCGGTGGTGCCGGCCCAGACAGCTGTGGTTCTCAGTTTTGTTTTGTTAGGGGCAGGAGCTATGCTTTCCATGCAGGCCGTGTGCAGGGTGCTTGCCAAGGCTTCTGCAGCTGTGGGAAATGACTGTCTCAGAGAACTGAGTGGACAACAGGTTCCTAGAAAACAGATGAGCCTTCAGTTTTGTTTCCAAAAGAGCAAACTAGGCTGACCTAGCACATCATAAATAACCTTGATATCATTCAAGCAAAAGGCCCCCCTCGCTCTCAAGAAACTCCCTGACTGCCTTTTCTTTTCTTTCTTTTTTTTTTTTTTTCTGTTTTGCATTCCCTTTCAGACAGTAAGATAAATTCCTTTCTTTAAAAATGTAGTGAGGAGGCATGTGGCGGAATGAAAAGCCAGTGCCATCTACACTGGTCCCCAGGCTCCTGAGCACGGAGACAGGGACACGGTACACATAGGCAGAAGTTGGAGGCCATCAGCACGTAGATATAACTAGATAGATCTAAAAATGGCAACACAAATGTCATAAAACCAGAAAAAAACAAGTGTCAATAAATGCAGTGTCGTTATCATACAGGAAAAAGGCTATTGGACAAGGTGCACAAGGCAAGGAGTTAGTGAGGTGATAAGGACAAGCCAGACTTCCCCAGGTGAGAACAGTTGACTCAGAGAACATATTGGAAGAGGGAACTTTCTCTAAAGAGGCGCATCCTCTTGGGCTCTGCCTGTCACGTGATTATGCCTGCGTCAATAAGAGATCACTCGGCCAAGGCTGACTTGATGCCTGTCTTTCCTACCCAGCTCTCTGGTTCCGTGGCTGACTCTTATTCAGTTAGCAGTAACTGTTTCTCACATGCTAACTCTGCAGGGAAGCTCTGTTTGCAAGAACAGCATCGGTGCCACCTTTAAAATGACCCAGTGCTTAAGCAGAAATACCTCGGCAAAAATGAGCAAACGCTGGCATTTTTAGGCTCCAGAAGAAATAAGTGGTGTTGTGTCGGGAAACACAGAGAGCAGTGCAAGCACTGCTATTTCTGTGTAGTTCTGCTAGTGCTGTGTAAAGCCCACATCCAAGGCGACATGGACTGAGCAAGCCCTGCGAAGCTCAACGTTTTGAAATCTTGGTTCTCAGTGAGGTAACACTGAGACACGATGAACTTTGAGACGCGGGGTTAGTAGGACATTTGGTAGGAGACTGGGGACACTGCCCTCAGAAGGGATTAAAGGAGTTCCCTTGGGACTCTGGTTCCGAGAAGAGTGGGTAGTTTCAAGAGTGAGATTGGCGCCTCCCTGCCCTTTGGCTTTCTCTCTCATTGCACCATCGCTCTAGCAAGTCCTCTGCCCGCCCCAGGCCCTCAGCTAGGGCTGGAGCTTAGACTTACAGTTTCCAGAACTAAATAAACCTCCTTTCTTTACAGTTTACCCAGCAGAAACCAGACTAACATACCAAGTGGCTTAAAAGCAACATTGTCTCATCTCTACTGTGCCGGTCAGAAAAAGGAAGAGAAATGCAGTGTTCCCTGTGTTCCGCTGCAGTCAGATGATGTTAGTGGATTTCTATCAGCTGTAGACAGACATTCTGTTTTGGGTTCCGTGCCCTTCTTACCCTGAGACTGTGCTTCTGTGTTTTGCAAAAGGGTCACGAAGCACTCTCCCCCTTTGTTTTTACTATATAAAACTGTTAAGTACAATGGCAGTTTCCAAGTCACTCCTGGGAGCTTGGGGTTTGGAAAAGGTCCAACCCCCAGTGGTCTTGGTGAGAAAGTCTGGCCCTAATGCAGGACAGTCAAGATGGAAACTTCACTTTGTCCTGGGATGGATAAGGACTAGAAATGTAAAACTGCACTTTTTAAACAGAAATCTATGTGCTGCTCTTGCAGAGGACCTGGGTTCTGTTCCCAAGCACCCACATGGGATCTTGCAACTGTCTGGAACTCCAGTTCTATGGGCTCTGATGCGCTCTTCTGGCCTCCTTGGGCACAAGACATGTGCCCAGTGTACATGTATACATGCAGACAAATGCTCAAACACACAAAATAAAGATAAGCAAATCACAGGCATGCCTGTCAAACATAATCTCACTCAGTAAGATCGCCAGGTACCTTATATGAAGGTTTGAAATCACGGCTTAATCGTTTCCCACAGCAGCAAGAGCCCAGAATGTGACTCATCAGGCCTGACACAAATGTCTGCGGTATGGTGAGCAATCCATCACTGAAGAGGGTGAAGGATTTTTCCATGAAAACGGTCCAATGGAAGGGAGTTCCATAAAAGAGCATTCCACCCCGTGCTGAATTTAATCAACTCTTTATCTGGTGCTTCTAAGTTGTCTCTAAAACTCACCGCCCCAGAAAGTGGCATTGTTAGCGAAAGGTCCAGTAGGTGCGGGGCCCTTGGTTCAAGTCCCAGTGCATGCACAATTGTGTACACACACACATACACACATACACCAGAATCAGATTAATAACACAGAAAATGTAGTTAATTGTGATTCTTATTATAACGTAAATAATAGTAAAAGCCTGCTGGAACTTGAGGCAACATTGTGTACAGAGTACTAGAATTAGGGGAGATGGGACTTGCCAGGATCTACAGTCAGTCAGAGATGTTTGGAAGTCTTTACTGAAGCCAGGCATAGAGGTAGACACCTGTAATTCCAGCACTCGGGAAACTGGGACAGGAGGATTGTCATCTGTAGGTAGCTTCAGAGATACAGTGATCCTGTCTCCAAAACAAAACAAAACTAATTATATGCTTCTTGCTGCCTATTTATTTAGGTAGCCTTAGGCAAACTCCCTTGCTTCTGGTTTCTTGTAATGAATTAGGAATAACAACAATGTCTGTTGGAAAGTCTGGCATGAAGATTAAGGATATGTGTGTGAAGTCCTTATCACAGATTTGCATATGTTGTTGGAATATTTCCTCTTTCAGGCAAATTGAATAAAGTTGCGATGAGCATCCAGATATAAGTTTTCATGTAACAATATAGGTAATTTATTCTTAAGAATACTCTCTATACTGTGTTATTGAGATTTCTTTGATAATTATGGCTTTTTATGTAAGGTCAAATGTTGATATATCTAGTTGAATTAGCTTGGTAGTAATAAAAAAAATGACAACTAGAATCTGAAAAGTTGAAAAAATATATGTGTATTGGCAGTCTTCACTGAAGCCAGGCATAGAGGTCTATACCTGTAATCCCAGCACCCAGGAAACTGAGGCAAGAGGATTGTCATTAATGTGTATTTAACACTTACTCTTTAGGTATGCCAACATCACCTCAAAGATTACAGCCAGAAAAAGAACTACAGTTGTGGAACGAGGTAAAAAATATTTTATTCTTGCAAAAATTATTGAAACCTTCACTCTTTAAAATTATTATGGTAAACTGAAATAGTGTAATTGAACTTTGGGGAACACTGTGCACCAACATTGTGACATCGTAATAGTTAGGAGTGTTTTATTAAAATAAAAGAGCCAGATATGGTGAAAAACACCTATAATTCTAGTATTTAGGAGGCTGAGACAGGAGGATTTCTGTAAGTTTGAGACTAAACTGAAGTAAATAATGAATTTAAGTCAGCCTGAAATATAGATTCATATATATTTGTATCACAAAATCATATCTCAGGAAATGCTAAAAGAGAGACAGGGAGATAAAAGGAGATAATACAGTAAATGGTAAAAAATCAGAAGGCAGGAACAAGCTGTAAAAATAGGGTAATTATAGTAAATGTGAATATTCTAAAATATAGCACTTAAAGACATGGGTACCCAGACTGGATTTGTGTTCTAGCTGTTAAAGATCTAGGAATAATTATCTACTAAAAGTCACATCTAAGGGCTGAAGATGCAGCTCAGTGCTTAAATACTTGCCTAGCATGTGTGAGGCCCTAGCTCAATCTCTAGTATCCCCCTTCCACCACCCCCACACACAAAAACCACACATACCATGGACAGGGGTTGAAGTATGGAGGGATGGAAATGACATAGAAAGCAAACATGAACCAAAAGAAAACTGGGGTAGTAGCCTTAATAGCCAATGAAATAAAAGTCAAATAAACAAACTATCAAAACAGGCAAGTAACCATTTATATGCTTATAAAATATGGACAAGAAGGTGTAGCCATCATTAATTCACCAGAAAGACAGCTTCAAATTCTACCAGTCTAACATCTGGTAAAAAAAAAAAAAAAAAAAAAAAAAAAAATCATAGGAAAAAAATGAGCATTAAAAATTTGGAATGTGAAGCCGGGCACAATGGCACATGCCTTTAGTCCCAGCACTCAGGAGGCAGAGGCAGACAGATCTCTGTGAGTTCAAGGCCAGCCTGGTCTACAAAGTGAGTCCAGGACAGCTAGAGCTATATATTACACAGAGAAACCCTGTCTCAAAACAAACAAACAAACAAACCAACAAATGACAAAACAACGAAAACACAGAATGTGTTAGGTCAGAAAGGAAGGTTCTGTAAATGAGGAGAGATCTAGTCGTTTTCCCAATCATAATGCCATAAGTACAATAAGAAAACAACAAATTCACTGCTCAAACATTCAATTTATTTGGAAAGTAAGCAGCATTTCTGGGAAATGACCCTAGAACAAAAAGAAAATTACACTTAAAGCTGAACAGCAAAAACATTACAAATCAAAATTTGCAGGATATAGCCAAGACTGCAGAGGACATTGTGCTTCGTTATAGAAGTCCAAAAGTATAAACTTCGTGCAAGGCTACCTCTGCTCCAGAAGTTGGTCCTACACCCATGTCATCCCGGCAGCACTGAGTAGACTCAAAGGTCTTTTACAAAGAGCACATGAGGTTTGGAGGTAAAAGTAGTGGGGAGTTAGGAAAAGGTAAGGAAATGCAGAAGCTTTGACCCAAACACATTATATGTGCATTGTGAAATTGTGCGGTTTTAAAATGCCCTGAAGTTAGAACTTGTTTCTTGTGTCATTGGCCAAAGCCTGGGCTCTGTTACACAGTCAATGTGTCATAAGTTTCTCTACAAAAGAAAACTGCTCTAAAGTTCACATGTCTACCCTTTATCTAGATAAGGAGCTTCTCTCCTTTTTTCTGTCTTGCTAAGAGTTTTGTCACTATTCGATTAGCAAAACCTTCAATTTCAAGCTTAATCAAATACTTTAATCAAGCGGAGCTCATTTGAGATGGGCGATGACCATTTTGCTCCTGTTCTCCATGGTGGTGAAGAATTGCATGAATCAAGTTTCCCCGCTGTTGAAATGTTAGCCCCGAGACACGAGTCCACAAGCCTTGGGGGTATAGGGCCAATAGATAAGAATCATTAGCATTTCTTTTCACTGAAAGAGAGTAACGTAGCAATATAGTTAAAATAGAGTTGGCTTTCTGAACCGAGAGTTAGTTCTACATCTGCAGATTCCACCAACAATGAGTTGAAAATATTTAGGGGTGAAAACCTGTTTGTCCTTCCTAAGGGTACGCAGGCTCTCCTGGTTGTTATTTCCTAAACAGTAGAGTATAACGACTATCTACACTGCACCCACAGTGCGCCAAGGGTTACAAATAGTTTAGGGATGATTTGAAGAATGTGGGAGGTGTGGGTTATACCGAGTGTTACCTGCTTTGTGTAAGGAACACGAGCACCTGTGGATTTTAGTATTCTCAGGGAGGCTGAAGCCAGTCTACAGATACTGAGAGACAATTGTGCATCATCCACAACAGCAATGAAAAGTGATAAATAGTGAATGTACAGTCCATTTATGGAGAAAAAAGTAAATGATGGTAAGAGAGAGCTGTGTGACTAGATGGGGCGACATCTCTTCAACGAAGCAATTGTGTGTGAGGGTGTTTTTAGGAACTGTCTTGGTGTGTGTGTGTGTGCGTGTGTGTGTGTGTGTGTGTGTGTGTGTGTGTGTGTGTGACAGGGTCTCTCAGTGGGATCTGGGGTTCACAAACAAGGCTGAGCTGGCTGATTGGTGATCCCCATCGCACCTCCTGTCTCTGTTTCTCCTATACTGATTACAAGCGTGGTGGCTTTTTATGTTTGTTGGGGACGCAGCTCAGGTCCTCATTCTGATATGGCAAGTGCTTTGCCCCCAGGATTCAGAATAATTCATTATCTATGATTAAAAAAAAATACCACATCTTCCTAAAATGAATCAAAGCAAGGCACATAAAATCAGTGTGGTCTTATTTAGAATGGTTCCATTTACTTCTTTTTTAAAAGGAGAACACCGGCATGATAAACTAAGTGTCCTCAAATCCTGAGGACACTTTGAACACAAGGAGCTTAAAGGCGAGGACTATCTGTTCTTGCTTCCAAAGAGCACTATAAAACTATAGTAGTTTATAGTCTGAAAAGTCAGATAACGACACAGAAATAAAGGCATGAAGTCATGGAATAACTCAGTTTACAGTTGCCATCCGGCCCCTCGAGTTAGTTTCTTACTGCAAGCCTCTGTGACTCTGCTGGCCCTGCAGGTGTCGGTCACCCAGAGTCTCCATCACCACCCCACTGCCATGGAGAGCAGTGTGTGTGTGTGTGTGTGTGTGTGTGTGTGTGTGTGTGTGTGTGCAGGATGGATGGTGGCAGGAAATTAACTTGTTCCCTGAACCCCATCGTGGCTGACAGCAACTTATTCTAGACTGTCTCCCAGACACCCCCGGACAGTCAAAACCCCAGCCAGTCACAGTGATGACCCCTTCCTGAGTTCTTTCTCATCCTGGTTTCCCTTCCTCACTCCTTTGCTGATGCTAAATCAGACACAGTTGCATTTTAGCCTCTTCTTCCTTCTCTGTTTGCTCATTTATTTATCGCAGTAACTGGGGATTCAACTCAGAGAATTAGGCATGCTGGACAAGTGCTCTACTCCTGAGTTATAGCCCCAAATAATTCCTTTTCTAAAGGTCTGTTTCTGGGAGGTGGAGGGAGCTAGAGCCCCAGGCAGACTGGATACACATATCAACAACACTGCAATCAAAGAAGGCAAAGAACAGGTTGAAACTGACTCATCGTATCCAGAGACATAAAGCCCACGCTCTGTACAAAAGATGATATGAAGGGAATTAAAGATCCAAACAGAAAAGATAAATCGTGGAGAAATAGGCAAGATGAAAGTTTGTGAGGAGCAGGGGAAACTTCTCAAACAGAACTTCGAATGCTCCAGCACCTCCTGTCCTGGGAAAGAGGTCCCAGGAAGTCTTTCATAGGCAGAGGACTGAACAACTGCATGAGAAGACTGACTGTGGCTCTGTAGTGGAAAGAATTAAACAGGATGCCTCAGACTGTCCCTCCCTGGGCAGTAGACAGACAGTATATTTATCATACACAGTCTACAAGGCTGTGCAGCAAGAAGCCACCTATGAGATGCACACTTGGCCCTATGAATGGATCTCTAAGTAGCATGTTAAGTGGAAAACAAACTAAATGTCTTAAGGACGTCCAGTGCATGCAGACAAAACAGATTCTACAAGACCATGAAAGGTGTGCATCAAATACCTTAGAAGAATGGCCTAGAAGGTGATGGAGTAATGATAACAAATGGATATATTACAGAGAAGGCTAACAACCATGCCCAGCACCCAAGACTTTCTTATAAGGTTTTAGAGTCGCCTCTTCTCTGAACTTAGGGTTCATGGCTGCCATAGCTCTTGCTGTCTATATGTAATTATTCCATGGAATCTACTTTCTGTTTTTGTTTTTTTTGTTTTTTTTTCCATTTCTAGGGTGTAACTGATGTTTTTGTTTTCTACAGATTAATGAAGCTTGCTCATCCTTTCTGTCTATTGATTCCCAGCCTCAGGTAATTTAATCTGGAGGTGTTTCGTGATAATGTTGGCGTTTCCTGGTGCTTAAAAAAAAAAATCTCCATTTCTCCCTTTGAACTTTTTTGAACTCACTAAGACTCATCACATATTAGATGGTACAGCATTGTCTTCAGGTAATGCCAGTGCTGTGGGCTTGTGTTTTAAAAGGCTAGCCTTTCATCGTTAAGTAAAATAATTTTATTTTGGAAATTGTGGACTATTAAAATACAATTTTAAAGTCAAACTTTGTTTAAAAGAAAACATTATACCCAATAACTAAAGCGCTAATTTGAATATTGCTTTATATCTAGTGCCATGCATTTTTGCACCAGAATCAAGCTTTTTGGATGGGCTCAGGCAGTGGCGCTGGTCTCTAGCCATGCTGGCACAAGACAAGAGGCTGAACTGTGTTTCCAGGATAGCCAGGACACAGTTCACGTCTTTTCCCATGGCAGGGGGGAGGGGGGGCCTAGCTAGTGCAAGGATCCAGAGTTTGCCCTACAGACTTTACTTTCTTAGGCAGCCCCTCCAGGATCCTAGACAGAAACTAATGTGCCTTGTCCACATCCTCCGGCCAAAACCAAGTGACTGTTCATATGGTGGTCCTGGCAGGAGCGAGAAGCAGACTTGTGCAACATCATTTCCTGGCTGCAGAGGTTCCCTTGCCAGAAGTTAGACAGATTTGCTTGGGCTTAGGGAGAGGGTAGGGAAGCAAGACCAACCCCAATTTCTTCTTTAGTTGCTTTCTCACTGCTGTTGATAAAAACAAACAAACAAAAGAACCAGCCCAACAAAAGCAACTATGTATGGAAAGGTTTACACTGACTCACAGCTCAGGGGAACACAGTCCATCTTGGCAGGAAAACATGGTGACAGGAATAGGAGGCTGGCTGCTCACATTGCCTCAGTTCACAGGAAACAGACAATGACTGGAAGTGAGTCCAGGCTGTAAAGCCTCAAGGCCCATCGACAGTGGCCCACCTCCTCCAATAAAAACGTCACCGCCTTAAAGGCTCCACAAGACTCCCCCAAAGGTGGCACAAACTGCGGACCACGTGTTCAAACATGTGGGTCTCTAGGAGACATACTCGAACCACAAGATGCCCTGTCAGGCAAATGACATGGGGGATATTAGCATGGAGGCCTTCGTGATGAACTTGAAACTCAGGAACAGCTTCAGAAAGATTTTTATATCCATAAAACCCAGTGGATATGTTTTTTTTAAAACTTATCTAAACTCTATCAACATAAACTAACTTTAAAAAAGTTCTTTTTCTACGTGTGTGTGTGTGTGTGTGTGTGTGTGTGTGTACACACGTGTGTGCCTGTGGCGTTCTGTGTGGGGCTGGAAAGGTGCACACCCTGTATGTGCGCCTACGCCTGGGAAGGCTCAAGATTAATGTCAGGAATCACCTTCCATCATTCTCCCACTGGGTGTGCTGGGGCTCTCAGTTACACACAGACCTTGCCTAAATGGCCAGTCTTGCTAGCCAGCTTGCTTCAGGGATTCCGTGTCTCCACCTTATGAGGCTGGAATGCAGCTGACACACACACCCAGCCTTTATGCGGGTTCTGGGGATCCAAACTCACACGGAAGCAGCAAGCACTTTAAGCGCCAGGCCAGCTCCCCGGCTCCACAAATCGACTCCTCACTAGCCCTCATCTCCGTGCACCTGGCAGATGTACTGTTTCTGTCTTTCACGTTTATAATGGATATTCCAATATATTTTGATACTATAAATATCATTAATTTTTCATCTTAACTTATTTTATTAATGATGTGATTATCTGAAGAGTGCTTCAAGATATTTTTGCCAAATAAAAAATAAAAAATCTTTAAGGGCCATAAACACAAAATAAAATATTATCTATCCCATATATGAAAGTCCTTAAAAAATTGTTGAGAACAATGGCTTCATATATATATATATATATATATATATATATACACACATATATATATATATATATATATATGTGTGTGTATATATATATATATATATATATATATATATATATATATATATATATATATGAGCTAGAGAAAACGCACTTATTTTGAAATGTTTCCAGCCAAAGGTCAGTGTTATTGCCAAGCCTCATCCAGCCTGGACACGGTTTCCTAAGGAAAAACAACCTACATATATAAATAACAGTCCTCTTCAACTGAGATGCACCTTTGACATGGGACATAGCTCAGCATCTCCTTTTTGTTACTTTGGATTTTGCTGCATTTCTATTGGGCTGTTTGGGGGAAAAAAAAAAAAGAACTTCAGGGATTTTTATGACCACGTTTTCATAGAGTGACCTGAAGGGAACAAGTAAGGAAGGACTTATCAGACTCCGTACTTCATTCACCTCCTAATAGTTTGGGGACCAGGCCTCGGTGGTCAAGCAATCACCTGGAAGACACATGTGAGAAACTCCCCCCCCCCCCCCGCAACATGAAACAGCTAAAAAATAGTCGACTCCCAACTACAGGATCAGTGGACATTGCTGAGTCCACCAGGATCTTCTATAGGTGGAAGGCCTGGCTCCCAGTCCATGCTCAACCAGTCAACCTCATCTTGGAAGGCACTAGAGAAGTGAGGATCTTGGAGGACCTCGCTTCCTCTATACAAAAGGGCAGCACTTCCTTTCCTATGTGCCTTGCCCCAAGTGTTTTAAGGACAGAATATAAGTTGAGTGCAGGAAAGTATTTTGTAACACACTGAAACAGCATGTATGCGTGCTCCATCTTGTAGTATTATCTATTCTAACAGTTTGCCCGGAAAGCAAGCAGCTGGGAGGGAGATGACAAAAACAGACCCCTGTGGGGAGGAAGGATGTGCAGCCCTGCACAGTGACCCCAGCTGTGTTCCTAACAACATCCAGCCATGTCAGGTGCGCTGGCTGACAGCTCGGAGCCACCTTTCACACAGCCTCCAAGCTGAGAGTACCTGCAATGCTAAATTAAACCAAACAGCCTTTCCTGCCCTTAATCCTTCCAGGAACTTCCTGCAGTGACATCACCCCTGATTTCTGGCTAAAGAAATTAAAGTTTAGGGAGATCAAGTAGCCAGCATGGGAAACGTGGTCCACACCGCTGTCTAGTTCCAGGCTGTTTACCTTCGCAGCACACACCTTAACCTCTGTTTACACTGCCTCCCACTGTCGCAGCTTTTCAAGACTTCAGAAAGGAATTTACTAAGGAACCAATGGTTCACAGGCCAGCTATGCTAGGTCCTGTGCAAAGCAGGGTTTGCCCCTGCTTGTCCATTTGTGCCACTCCTTACCACGCCCAGCTGGCTGCCAACCACAGGATTCCTGCCCTAATTCCGTGCTCTGATGCTTTGACAAACCTGATCCTGGGGTGTGCAGTCAGCACCCTGGAAAGGGTGGTACTCGGACAGGGTGCACCACGCATGGCTTCTTGTCCTTCGGTTCCCATTGTTTGAGAGCAATTGCCGGATTTTCAAATGAGCCGGTAATGAGTAATGTTCAGCGAGGCTCACTGCTCTGGCATGCACATGCCCTTTGCTACAAGCTAGGGAGCCTAATCCCTTGCTGGCACTGCCCAGGTTGTCTTAGTCATAGAGTTCCATGATGTCTTAGCAATCGCTGAGAACTATGTAACTGGACCACAGTGAAAGCCTCCATTGCTGCAAAGATGCAGCAAGGAAAAAGGGATTTGTTTGTTTATTTGTTTGTTTGTTGTGTGTTCAAGTTTGTGTGTGTGTGTGTGTGTGTGTGTGTGTGCGCACATGGGAATGCATGCCCAGGTATACCCAAGCAGAGACCTGGCATCTTCCTCCATTGCTCTCCACCTTGTTTTTTGAGATGAGAATCTCACAGAGCCTGAAGTTTGCCATTGGGTCTAGACTGACTGCCCAAGCAAACTCCCATGCCCAATGATGAGGTTACACACTCGCTCAGCTATGCAAGACCTTTATGTAGGTTCTAGGGATTTGAACTCAAGTCCTCTTGCTATCCCAGCAAACTCTCTCACCTGCTGAGCCATCACCCTGGCCCTAGGATGTTTCGGCACTGTTATGAGAGAAATCAAGAGATACCTACAGAGTTTCAGTGAAGCACAGCAAGAGTTCTTTGCAGCAACAATGGGATATCCTTGTGTTTCCAAGATCTGAAATCTCACCCTCTGTGCAAATATAGTGCAAAGTGTCTTCTTGTTTGTCTTAGGCATTTGTTGCACTGAGGGAGCTTTGCCGTGTGGTGATGGAGATTTCCCAGAAGCCTCAGGTAAGGCTGAAGTCCTGTAGGTAACCAAACATTGAAAAAAATGCGTTGAAGTTCCTCCTCCTAGAAGCAAATATGCCCAAAACAGGAGCTAGAAGACACATTGACTTGGGATAAGAAACAAGTACTTCCATTTCTCTGATACCTAACATGTTGGGATTATACTGGTAAAGTTCATACTTAACCAACTGGGAAACCACGTCTCCTTCAAGCATAAAATCTGATCTGATGGGAGAAACTTACGGTCATGCCTTCCTTATTTTCTCACCAGCTTGTACAACTGGAGACAAGAATGAAACGAGGTTGCTAAATTGTTTATGGCCTGTGTTTAGGACATTATACTTTGTTGCAGTGTAGGACTTTAAGAATGGAAAAACGTAGCTGGGGAGAACACTTAGCTGGCATGTTAGCTTTCACCCCCCCCCCCCCCACACCCCCTACCCCCCCCCCCCCCCCCCCCCCCCCCCCCCCGAGTGGGGAAAAACAAACAAGGAAGAGCAAACCAGCCAACTGCATCGTCAATGTCAGCTTAAATGTTCTGTTTGCCTCTGTGGCCGGGTTTCTGACCCGAATGATTTGTTTCTTCTGGGAGAATACGTTTTTCTAGGTAAAGGCAGGTAGAAGCATAAGAAAGTGCATACAATTAAACCTTGGGTTGTTGGCCCACTCCAGCAACGAGCCTTCCACACAGAGTGACTCCGGGAAGGAAACGATAGTGTGAAGGCATGGGGGTTTTCTGAAACTTCATATGGGGATGTTCCCCCTCCCAAAAAATGCAATTTTTCCTAATTAAGATAAAGAAATGACAGTAATATCTATCCATTGCCTTTCTTTGGTGCTAAGAGCAAATGAGAGGGAAAAAAAAAAGTGATTTGACTCCTAAAAAGCACAGACATTTTAGAGACAAAAGCATAGAGGGAAACTTATGGCAGAAAAAAGTAATCCAGGGGCTTATTTAGTGATGACAACTAAAAATATTTTGATGTAGTCTGGGTGATTTCTCTGGGTACTCCATCATGTGACTGGATTTCCATCCCTCTACTATTAAACTTTGAGGATGCTTCCAGGTTTTTTTCTTATAGCTAATTTTGTAGAAAAGATCACCCTCCACTTTTTATAAATAATGTTTAATCAATTTTTCATTTACTTTTGATCAAAACCATGTGTAATCAATTTTAGTCTTATGTTTGAAATATAATGTGTCATATTTTAATTTTTTAACATATACATAATTTATTGTAAGCTTCAAAGTATGTAGCATATAGTTTAAAAATGTATATTATAATGATATACATCTCTTCACTAGGAACAAAATGAAAAAGATAATACTAAGAGGGTAAGGCATTTTCTTAAATACATATACACTAAAAAGAATAAAGAAAGCCACAGATACTTTATGGATAATTCACTGCCTTCTGTTTTAACAGTTCTTATTTCATTATTCAAAGATACAGAAGTCTGGAAATTCAAATGTTGTGGTAAGTAATCACTACTATGTGTTTAAGAGAAAACTGATTATTAAAATAATTATATAGCATACAATAAGACCAAAATTCATATTTTTTAAAATTTTATTAATTACACTTTATTCACTTTGTACCCCCATAAGCCCCTCCCTCCTCCCCTCCCAATCACACCTTCCCTCCCCCTTCTCCACGCATGCCCTTCCCCAAGTCCACTGATAGGGGAGGTCTTCCTCGCCTTCCTTCTGATCCTAGTCTATCAGATCTCATCAGGAGTGGCTGCATTGTCTTCCTCTGTGGCCTGGTAAGGCTGCATCCCTCTCAGGGGGAGGTGATCAAAGAGAAGGCCAATCAGTTCATGTCAGAGGCAATCTCTGTTCCCATTACTATGGAACCCACTTGGACACTGAACTGCCGTGGGCTACATCTGTGCAGGGGTTCTAGGTTATCTCCATGCATGGTAATTGGTTGGAGTATGAGTCTCTGGAAAGACCCCTGTGCTCAGATTTTTTTGGTTCTGTTGCTCTCCTCGTGGAGCTCCTGTCCTCTCCATATCTTACCATTTCCCACTTCTTTCATAAGATTCCATGCACTCTGTCCAACAGTTGGCCATAAGTCGCAGCCATCTGCTTTGATAGTCTGCAGGGCAGAGCCTTTCAGAGGCCCTCTGTGGGAGACTTCTAACTTGTTTCCTGTTTTCTTCTTCTTCTGATGTCCATCCTCTTTGCCTTTCAGAATGGGGATTGAGCATTATAGCCAGAGTCCTCCCTCTTGATTAGTTTCTTTAGGTGTACAGATTTTAGTAGGTTTATCCTATATTATATGTCTATATGAGTGAGTATATACCGTGTGTGTCTTTCTGCTTCTGGGACAGCTCACTCGGGATGATCTTTTCCAGTTCCCACCATTTACCTGCAGATTTCATGATTTCCTTGCAAAACTCATATTTTTTTTACTCTGAAAGTTATGTATGAGCCAGGTGGTGCGGCTCAGTGTTCCATTCTTCAGTACCACAAGGGGAAAAAAAACTGAGTTTACATATGACTGAAGAAGGAAAAATCAATACTTATTATATACTTACTTTATATGTCAATAACTGCATTGCTTTATGTTCACTCAGTCACAATTATTTATTACCTAGTATGCGACAACCCTAACTCTAAATGCTGACGATATGATGATAAATTAAAAAAAACATTTAAGAAAGAAATCCCTCCTTCATCAATTTGTATTCAATGACCAAAAAAAGTCTAAGAACAAATAAATAAGTAAAAACAAATTGTTCTCATCCAAAGACATTTTTACAAACAATTGCTTCAAAAGACAAGTACCAGCGGCTAACTGGAAATAGCATCTTCTCCTCTTGTTCCTCATCGTTAGGTCCATGTTCACTGGGAGAGTTTATACCAGAGTAACTAGAAAGGAGTAACTAACCAGGTTTAATTCACATCAAATGCATGTCATTTCAGTGGTCATTTTGGTTTGTTAGTTTTTATTTCATTTTATTTCTTTTCTTTGCATGGAATTAAAAAGGACAATCTAGCTATGGCTGTAACATAGTGGTAGTATAAACAAGGCCCTGGGTTTGCTCTTTTTAAGCCTGGGATCCACTACTGTGCACAGTTTGGGGAATGAAAAGGATGGCGTGTTTTAAACACATGTGCAGAAAGCTAAATGTAAGCGTGAACTCCACATTAAATGAGGACCTCCTGGAATAATCTCATGGACAGATGAAACTTTTAAGTTAGATTAACTGCATACTGGACACAAGTTGCATTCATGAGCAGAAAACCATTATCTGGGGGATCTGTTTATCCATTTGTTAAATGAATTTAATATTAGTGATGAGGCTCAGCTCGACCTAGATCTTAAGAAAAGTGCAGCGTTATCAGGCGGCTGTGTGTCTCGGGTGTGCTTTCGTCTTCTTCCACGTGACATCTCAGCACCAACAGCACATTGTCATCTTTGTGTCCCCTGCTGTCTTGCTCCATTTTACGTATTTAACTTAGGAAGGAGATTTCGGGGGATGTGTGTGCCATAAGCATGCAGATAGAGAACACTGATACGAGCAAGTTGCCTTCATGTCGGCCAAATTATTCTGAGCAAGTGTAGAAGTTGACAGATGGCTTTTTTGCCTCCTAGATGGGCCGAAGGAGATGACAAACAGCTTAGTGTAGGGCCAGCAACCTGTCCTACCCTTTGGTTTATTTATGGCAGTTCTTTAAAGGGCTTGGAATGGGCTGTCTTAGATAATGTATTTAATTTCCTTTTTTTTTTTTTTTTTTTTGTTCTTCCGTCTGGGGTGAGAATAGTGGGTAAAACCATATAGACAGGCAGACAGGCAGGCAGACAGACAGGAAGCCTTCTTAACGCCCATTGCTGAGGAGCCCTCATGCTCATCATGTGTTCATACCCTCTCAGTCGTCTGTCGTGCATCCGTTGCTGCAGCTCGTTCCTCAACTGCATGAGAGAAGAATGAAGAGATTCAGAGTGGACGTACGTAACCCAAACCGCATGCTGGCTTTGGCACTCTGGGGCAGCCCCTTCCGCTAACTGCAGCTGTAAGATACCTTTCTCCCGGGTGAGCCCCTCACATTCAGCATTCATACTCGCTGTTGGCTTTCTGTCAGTCACAAGGACAGTATGCCAGAAAAAAAAAAAAAAGAGTCGTTGGGCTCAACTTATGAGAGAAATCGAGGTTAGCGTCCCCATTTTCTTCAAGCAGATGCATGCAGTGACTTCATTTCCTTCTGCTGCTTCCTCAGACAGAGTCCACTACCTCCCAATACCACCACCGGCTGCTGACCAAGCACATAGGCCTTGGGGACATTTCAGATCCCGATCATCATATACTGGGTTAACCCACGACAGATCATCGTGCAATCTTTCTCCTTCTCCATGTTCTGGCCCCTTCTAGCTCGAGCTCCAGACGTTGAGGAAAACTGGGGTTATACACCCTTCCGTGACACTGTCACTGAGAGAATGTGCCCATGTTTAAGAAAGGGAACTGCTGGGTGTTTCATCTTTAGGGAGGAATTAGAAATCCAGTCAAGGACAATTTATTACCCCTGTATCTTGTTGACAAATAACTAGGGCAGTGTAATTTTTTTTGTGCCCAAGTATTAAAACATTGATAAGAATAAGGATTGTAAATATACATATCCTAACACAAATGTCAGTGTTTCATTTTTCCCATGGCTAAGAAAAATAGCATCTGAATCCGGTGTGTAAGGTAAATATAACTAAGCCACACATTCTGAACGAAAAAGTGGGGAGTTTCAATATCACGTAAGAACAATCCTAACGCTTTCAGGGTTGAAAGTCCTGGGGTAACATTTTAAAGCAAGAAATTGCATATTCGCTCTAGCATTACCACCTCTGATTTATTGGGAACTCGGCTGGATTTTCACAGCTTCTGTTACCACAAGTTAAGAGAAAGGAAGATCATGATAGTTAAAGATGTTTCCACGGGCTGTCTAGTATGAGAGGTGACAAAGCAGTTCACAGACCCTTAGCCTAGGCCAAAAAAACAAACAAAAAAAAAACCAAACAACTTTTTTATTGTAACATTCCCTTTATGGTTTAGTGATGGTTACTTTATTATTAGATCACTGCCATTACATGTATTAGTTTTAAAAGCTGAAAGCAAGTCTGGTGTTTTCATAACTTTGATACTGCATTTTTTTTAACTCTTCTTAAAGCACATTTTTAAAAAAAAAAAAAAAACAACAACACACAGTTAGATGAGTGAATGTCCCAGAATTTATTTTTATGATCATTATTTCCCCCCTCCCGAAAAAAATTCTTCATATTTTTAGCTTCAATTGAATAGGGCTATCTGCTGCTAACTATAAAGGGAATTTAGGGAGGGGAATTAATAACAGCTTAACTTTGTTGAATTTACAAAGCTGGGAATTTAGTTCAGTGGTAGAGCACTGTTCTAAATGTGTGAGCCCCTGAGTTCAGTTTCCAACACCATCCACTCCCAAAATGTTAGAACTCCCAGAAAGAAGAAGAAAGTGAATTGATATAAAATCTTCTAGAAATAAAGGCACACTTATAAAATTTTACTCTATTCTCTACAATGTCTATAATAACTAGTGGCAATTATTTTAACTATGTTTTTTCAGTCTCACCATTTACACAAAGAAAGAGTGAGTAATAGTCATTATTATGGCCAACTTAGAACACGGTCCCCATTTTCTGTCTTGAGCAAGACTACTATAGTTGCGGACAACTGCCGGAATACATGAGGCCTGACGTATGCGCAGGTGCTGACAAATGAAGGCAAACCCTGAAGACATTCTCCCACAAGCCAATGTCCTTAGAGAACCCTGAGAACAAAGAATGTAAGAGATAAATGAAAACAAAACAAAACAAAACAAAAAAACAATTACAAAAGAATGTTGGTTGTGCTGGTCAGCAACATCTGATTTTAAAATATAGTTTTATAGTGAAATATCTTGACTTTAAAAAATTTGGACTTTTAAGCATTCAAACATTTTGAATTCTGTTTGCTAGATATGAACCTTTTTATCTTTCCTTTCCAAATTCTTTCAGTTATTGACAACTCTGTCTTTTATGACAACACCTGGAAATCTTTGGTTTTGTTGTTGAGTGCTTTGAGTAATTAGTATATTTTAATTTTTATTGTGTTCTTCTTTCTCTTGACTATACACAAGAACTGTTTTTAGACAAGTACATAAACATACAGTTTCCATGTATACATTTTAAATACATGTTTCAATCTTAAGTAATGTGATAGGTATAGTAAAAATAAGAATTGAGCACAAATATTGAGAAACGGAGTTATATTTTCTATAAATCTAGGATTTATGAACTTAAATAGGTATCAGAAATATTTAGTAGAAAAAAGAATATGAGCATACTCATGGAAAATTTGAAAACAGTCTTGACTGATAAATTTAATGACCATCACAAATTATTAATGCAAACAAGCCAATTCTATGGAAACAATAAAATGCTGAGTATTCTTTCCATGAAGCTTAGAATGATATACTTAAGTAATACCACGTAATACACTTGTTATAAGTACAGTTTTTTCTATATTCTGCACATACAATAACATCAGAAAAGTGTCTTTCAAGGCATCGAGTAGATATACATTTGCCCAAGTTGTCCCTCGGTTTCCTTGAAGAAGTGTTATATCCTCGCTTTAACGGCAACCCCAGCTTATATTTTCCCATTCCTATGTGACCACATCCAACATTTATTTTTTTTAAAGAGATTATTTTATTCTAGCAAAATGTCAAAATGAGACTTTTTAAATAGAGTACGCCTGATATTATCTTTCTTCTTACTGATGAATATGCGTACATCTGACAACAAAATTCCTGGGGAAAGAATCCATGATAGTGACACAGAAAAATACTTTTAAATGCACCGCTCTGGGGACACTGCAGTTGTTGAAATGAGGCAGGTGTAAGCGCGATGGTTCTCTACTGACTTGAATTCTCTACTCAACTCTTGGTACCTTTTGTTGAGAGGGAGGAGCTGGAAGTAATCCTGAGCTTCGCTGCAGGCTTAGGAAGGCTTTGCATTTGTTCAGTGTGGCTTTATTTGTTGTGTCTTCCTTATTTCTTCCAGGAGGAATTCCGGAGTCCTTTCACTGGTCAAAGTAGGGGATACTTTTTATTCAGGGTAGGTAGATATAGTATCTTGTGAGTAATAAATATGAAAATTGGCAAAGTATTTCCGGTGCGTGTTCACCGACTTGGCTCATGTTTTAATGACATTTGTGGATGTATTTATAGACTTCTCAAATCAGGGGGCTCAGCCTGATGTCATTTCTGTTGCTCTAATCCTCCTTCCACCACTCGAATGTGTCAGCACTCCAATGGAATCATCTACGCCACAGAGTCATCTTATGATACTTTCTGTGTAAGAAATAAGTTTTTAGCGCTATTTCATAGGTCCAAGGGGGTCAGATGTGACTATGCTGCCAAACTGTTAAAGCTGAAAATTCAATGATAATAAAAGCTTTCTCTACACATAGAGGTAGCTTTGTGACTGTGTTTGTCATTTTGCATTTGCGTATGAAATGTGCTTCTAAAGAACTGTTTTCTGTAATATTTACTTTCTTAACACATAGCCAGAAAGTTACCCATTTAGTAAATGTGTAACTATTTTCTGAACGTCTAATAGGTGCTAGGCAAGGAGCCAACAGGTGGGAGTAAGAGGATAAGAATTAAGAGTGGGCACTACTCTCACAGAGTTCAGTTCCCAGCACTCACTTCAGGCAGCTCACAACATGTAACTCCAGCTCTGGGGGATCTGGAGCTCTCTTCTGGTCTCTGTGGGCACCTGTATTTATACACACACACACACACACACACACACACACACACACACACACACATGCACGCACACACAGTTTAAGGTAAAATAAAATATTTTAAAAGAATAGAGTTCAGCTTCCACACCCTAGGACTTTGCAGCCTGATATAAAATAAATAAATAAATAAAAGCAAGCTAAAAACAGCCATCCCTTGGTATCCATGGGGTATTGTTTAAAATTAAACAAACAAACAATGAGGGTACTCAAGCCCTTCATGTTAAATGATGTAGTATTTGTTTAAATCCAACCACATCCTTTGTAAGTCACATTTAGATGAGATTTGAGGCAAACACTTTAGCTGGAGAATGGAGGCAGAACAGATGACTTTATGTGTGAATACTGAAGATCAGATAGGACATATTTTAAATTTAAATTAAATTAAATTAAAATTTTTAAAATATATTCACTTTACATCCCAATCATAGCCTCCTCCTTCATCTCCTCCAGGTCCCACCCTCTGTCCCTCTTCCCCTGACTCCCCTCCCTTTAGTTCTCAGAAAGAGGAGCCTTCCTCCCCTACCAGCTGATGCCAGCACATCAAGACTCAACAGGACTGGCTGCATCCTCTTTCTCTGTGGCCACCCCACTAGGAGGAAGTGATCAAGGAGCAGGCAACAGAGTCCATGCCAGAGATAGCCCCTGCTTCCCTTACTAAGGGACGCATTAGAGACTGAGCTGCCTATAAGCGACATCTGAGCACCTGTTTTCAAATGTTGGCCCCTATAAACAAAAGCAAGTAGTTTCTAATTCCTCCTGGTCCTATAGCAGCTTCAGCAGTGCCTCAGAGCTCAGTAAAAACACACATTTTTGGCTTCCACCTCAGCCTTAGCAGGTCAGAAGCTGCAGCTTCCGGGTCCAACAAGCCCATTACTGTCCTGCCCAAAGCCCGTCGGGTGACCTCGACGTACACGAAGGAAACCCCCCTTTATACCAATAGTCTTCTTTCTATGGCATTTACCTTACATCCGTGGCTACAAATTTTTCTTTCTAATTCATTCTTTTGCAGCCGCGCAATGGGAAGAGGTCAGCAGGCATCATTTAAAACGGTTCGAAAAAAAAATAGATCAGTAAGTAAAGATGAAACGGCACGTGTTTCACGGCTTGGGAGATGGTCACAAACTGAAGGGTACTCAGCTGTCTCGTGTTCAAGTGCACGCGTGCACTAACATTGTATGTAAATCCTACAGGTGTTGGGGCAGTGCAGGCGGTAGAAAATGGGCTAGACGTGCTTTGAGCCCAGGATTCCTTGGTCTGTGACGAAGTAGTCATCCAAGGTGCCTTGGGAGGTGGCAAGCCCACCATCGCTTAAGGGTTTCATTTCTGCTCTGTTACTCGGCATCCCCTGGAGCGGGCCAGGATTCACGGCCCCGCACTTTCCTATTCCACATAGCTCACTCTCCAACACTCTCTGCAAATACGGGGATGCAGTTCAGATGATGGGGTATTCTCAGGCCAGGCGGAGCCCCGCGAGACCCTGTCTCAAAAGCGGCCGGTGGGGGAGGGAGGGCTGGAGAAGTTCACGCAGAGGATGGGAATTTCTTTCTGCAGCCCATACCAGCAGCTCTTCATATTCTCTTCTGACCTCCGCAGGCTCCCGCAATACCACACACATAAAATTTAAAAAAAAAAAAATTTTTTTTAAAAAGTAAAGCAGAAATTTCTGACAGTAAAAAAAAAAGAAAAATCTGGGTGTTTGAAAAAAAGTAAGTTATTTCATTTCGTTTATTCTAGAAAAATGACAAAACTATGAATACACAAAGACAGAAATGAAAAGATAGTCATTGAGACTAGACAAGTAAAAATAACCAAGAACACTTAGCATAATTGACAAAGTGAAATGGAATCTGATCTGTTTAGTATTAACTTCTCTCTAAAGTTGAGAAAATTTAGCTTTATGATCAATTCCCCTAGGTTAGGGTCTACTCGGTCTATTTTGGTCAGGATTTTATCTACGTTGCTAATAGAATAGTAATTCAACAGTCATTTATTTGCCCCTTGGGTTTGTCATCTGGTTACCTAAGGTCTTGTTTTATCTCGGTAATAGAGTTTTTAAGAAAATAAGTATAAAATATGGATGGTGTAATGGCAGATATACAAGTAAATAAACAGGAAAAAAATTTGATAGCTCTCATTTGATTGAGATATCAGTCTCATCACACATAATCCAAGAACATTCAAATAAGAACTTAAAATCAGATGTGAAAGATTTAGTGTTTAAACATTGTAGCCAGTGATGCCCCATTTGCTAATGATTTCAGATAGAAAATCACATCAACACCACTAAGCCATTCAGCATAGCTTCTGGAACTATGGGCTCTATGAAACTACCAGTTTCAGCACTTGAGATTTTTTTTTTTTTTTTCACATCTGAATAGTTGTAAGGAGCTCAGCAGGGGTTGGGGAAACCAGCTAAACCAGCTAAGGAGCCAAAATATGGCCAGCTGAAGCTTGGAGTAAAGCCACAGCAGGGTTCCCCTGTGCTTGGGCCTTCTCCAGGAGGGACAGCTGGTCTAAGGTGGAAGCAGAAAAATCTCTGAATCTAAAACTCTCTCCATCTCTAAACTAGAAGAATCTTCTTATTGGTAATGATGACCTTTAGTAAACTACTTGTTTGTTGCCTCTTGTTATTTTTTTTTTCAAGATAGGGTTTTTCTGTGTAGCCTTGGCTGTCCTGGAACTCCCTCTGTAGACCAGGCTGGCCTCCAGCTCACAGAGATCCACCTGCCTCTGCCTCCTGAGTTCTGGTAGTGAACTACCTTTATATTATTAAACACTATAATCTATTAAGATAGTCAGATGTGTAGAGTAACTGTCCCATCTGAGAGTTATTAAGTGGTGAATTGTAAAACAGAGAAAACGGGGGCTGAAGAATAGTTGGGAAATACCTCAACTGCCAACGTTATTATATTATAACAAAATATTCCTAGAAATATCTATATAAGTATTATTTGTGCATATTCATATTCTCACATATATGTGAATCTAATTCTTTTTTTTTTCTTTTTACAGAATGTCAGCTCATCTTTCATTGAAAACACTGCTATGGACAAAAAGAGAAAACACTGCTTTGGGATATAAAATATATTCACATTTGGTTCTCAAAAATGATCCCTCCTAAATTTATTGTTGCAAACCCCTGTATTGAAACAGTCTCTGTGATGGTTGAGATTATAAATGTTTAATTTGTTTAAAATAAAATGGCATCTTAAAATCTTTTATGACCGATTGCACAGCAAAGCTGTACCTGAAGATGAATCCTATCGGTGCCCACAGCTCTGGATAGCTCTGGAACACATTCTTTTTGAGTGTTTGCTGACGTCACACATAGAGAGTTGGGCGGACCACCAGCACTTATAAGTACCAGAATGTAGACTGTCATGATGGAGTCTGTAATCTCAGTGTTGTGATCCGGAGGCAGGATGAAGGAAAGTTCAAGGCTGGCCTGGGCTATGTGGCAAGAGTCTGCCTGAAAACACAAGTGAAACAACAAAATGGAGTGCTAGCTATCTTAGAATACCAGCAGAGCCACATGAGTTATGAAATTATTCAGTGGTCCAGTGGCAAGCTGTGATTTACGTCTTACAAAATAGATTTCAGATTGCTGCAAGCATACCAGATGGTGTTTGCCTGGCAGTTAATAGTGGTTAGTTTACTTGTAATTGCTTCACCTTGCAAGTGGTGAAAAGCAGCGCTCCTGGTTTATTACCAGGAAGAAAACCACCTTACGAGGGGATGGTGCTAACCAACCTCGGGTAAGGTTATTTAAGGAATTTAACTAACATTTCATGAAGAAAGTTCTTGAATTACTCTTGCTACCAAGCCCTGGGAAGAACAGAAATCAAGAAGAAGCGGAGAGGGAGAAAAAAAAAATCACAATCTTGGTTTAAAAGTGAATTGCCTTGGCAGGATGAGCCTTAGAACATCGAGGGTCCCGTATTCTGAAGCCACGAGTTAGACAGTGTTAGCTCTCTGTACACAGTGGTTTTATTAACTTGGATTTTAAAATTAGTTCTTTAGTTAATATACATCAGATCTGTGGTAGTTCATACATATTTGTAATTGTCCTGGTTCACATTTAACCTCCACTGTCCCTGATGCCCCTTTTGGCTCCCTTCTCCCAGCCAAATAACCCATCTTCTGGTTTCATGTCATACCTATGTTACGTATATCAATACAAATTCTGCATATGAGAAAAAACACGCAGTATTTTCCTCCTCCCATTACCTTCTTTTGTTAAAATAGAAAAAGTTAAATATTAGGCAGCAGGGTCGCTTTAAAATCCAGAAAGACAAGAATTGCTTGTGTATTTTAAGAATCTTCACATGAAAGTGAGGCAGGGTGAAAAGCCGAAATACCCAGATATGGTTTCAAAGACTGATGTGTTCACCTAATAGTGTGTCATACACAAGCAATGTGGGATGCTTGGAGTGTATAATCTGTATCACTCTCTGATCACTGCTGGGGAATCATTGAATCGTTCCATTGCTGAACCCAAATTGAAAACTGTGTCGCTAAGTACATTTTTTTTTTCCTTTTAAATCCTTTTTAGTATATCTCTGGGGCCATGTGCACAACCACTTACAAGGTAGTTCCCACATGCTCCTAGTAAATAATTCCTAGTAAAATCCTTTCCTGGACTAACTCAGAGAAATCAACTGTCAAGGCCTCCTATCTAAGCCAGGGCGTCTAAGGGGAGAGAGGTCCTTTCTTGCAGAGATTTTTATTTTGTTTTTATCTGTTTCTTTGAGACAGGTTCTCAATATATAGCCCAGGCTGACCTCTCCGAAGCCACCTGAGGGTTAGGACCACAGGTGGGAGGTCCTGAAACTTACCGTCTCCTTGAGAATCTTTTGGAAATTTTTGATCTAAGATCCGGGAGGGTGGGGGCGGGATGGGGATTACACACACACAAATACACAATTGAGGGTAATGCTTAGATGCCCCTTAAAATTCTGTCTCTAGCCTGATGCCATTAATCCCATCCCAAGAGGCAGAACCTGATAGATCTCCTCTGTGAGTTCAAGGTCAGCTTGGTCTATAGAGTTCCAGGACAGCCAGAACTACACAGGGAAAAAAAAAATCTGCCTTAACTAACTAACTAACTAACTAACTAACTAACTAACTAACTAACTAACTAACTAACTAACTAACTAACCAAAGAAAGAAATCTCCAAAGAGGCCATGGGTCCAGGTTAAAAACGCCTCTGAAGTGTTCACCTCCCAAGAAATTTTTTTTTCTCCACTAATATTGGATTCAGTCTTGGGAAGTAGTTGGTGGTAGAAGGAGGTGAAATGGACAGCAACACGAGCACCAAGTGACCAGCAGAGGAGACACTGCTCCAGACAGATGTTGCCTGACCAGATGTACCTGGACCACATATCCCGGAACGAGGCCTCTGAGTTGCTTGGCAACTGAGCTACCGTTGCACATGCGCAGGAGGTCCTGGTCCTCCTTGGCCCGCTCCTGGGGCGTTAGAAACCACTATCCAGGGCTGACTAGCTCCCTTTGCCAACCTGGAGGAAGTCTGGGGCCTTGGCTCCTATTGAGGGGCAGAAGAGAACACCATGCAGGTGAGGGTCGGGCTGGTGGGTGACTGTGGAGGCCTGAGCGGGATGATGGCTCCAAGGCGAGGGGTGTAAATGGAGTGGCGTGGATCGTCCACAGGGTTAGTTACAAACATTTGCTCTCGGTGGGTGCTATTGTGTGCGCCTCCGTCTAGTTTTGAGAGAATGCCATTTTTTGATATTCAGGAGTCTCAAGGGAGGCTGGAGGAGACACTCTTCAGTACTGCCTTTTACCTCTGAGTTCCGGAAATTCAAGTGCTGTTCTATTTTTGAATTTAAGAAAGGAGTAACATTGGCCCAAGGGGATTCAATTTAACTGTCGTCTTTCGTTTATGTTCTTTTAAAAGGGGGTGTCCCTTGGCCTGTGGGGTGCTTGCTTGCCAAGCCTGTTAACCTGAGTTTGATCTGTGGGATGTACATGGTGGAAAGTGAGAACGCACACGCACCACACTCACACACGTAATTATTATTTTTTTTTAATAAAAATAAAGTTAGATTACAGCTATACATTTCAAGACTTTTAGCCTGGGTAATTTCTCAGGGTGATGCTTTTTATTTATAAGCTCTTTATTTTTTTTAAAATTATTGTATTTTTATTTTTTATTTGTATGGGCATTTTGCTTGCACGTATGTCTGTACATAGAATTCTGAAGAGGGCGTTGGATCCCCGAAACTGGAGTTACAGATGGTTGTGAATCAGCATGTAGGTGGAAATTAAAACATAGGCTCTTAAGAGCAGCCAATGCTTTTAACTGCTGAGCCATCTCTCCAGCCCCATGAGTTCTTTATAATAAAGTTTTAATTTCTCCTCCCTTGGTCTCTCCATTCCATCCTCCCTCCTTCCTTTTCCTCCTTTTCTCAGAATAAAATCCTCACTTTCTGACATTAAAAATAGCTTTCTCTTACTTGCTCCCTAGTGAAGTGCTTTAGGTTTTTCTGGGTTTACATACTTACTTTGGGTGGCTGCGTAGACCATACAATTTATTAAGCCTCTTTAAGCTCTATTCACGTGTAACCGAATTCTTTCACGTTAGACGGCTGTTAGCGAGTGTATCTGTACTGTTAGCCTGGCATTGCAGTCTGTCCTGCGTTGCAGCTACTTCTCAGGCATTCGGCTGAAGTGAAGCCACCAGGAAGCAACGTGGAGCTGACAAATTTGCACGTTGGTCTTGGGTACAATTAGCAGAGTGAGTGAGGACTGAAGACTGTGGTGTGCCCACGGATGGGAGGTAACTGGGAGGGTAGAGTAGGATGGCACAGGGAAATTTAAGGAAGGTTCTCCTGACGCTTAGTGGTTGGGAATCAAACCCACCCCTCAGGTAGCCTTGGCCGTTGGCAGCTTTCCCATGGATTTACAGTGACATTTTATGTTCAGCCTTAATGAATTCCCACCAATAAAATTTCAAAGACTGTGAGCAGTACCCAGCCAAAAGTATAGGGCACACAGAGAAGAAGGGCGGCATGATCATGAGCCAGGGAAACAATGACTTGCAGAGATTTCCAGTGCTGGAATGGACAGAAGCCAGTTATGAAACAATTGTACTTATTGTATTCCAAAAGTGTCTGCAGGAAGCACTTGAAGAAAGACCATAAAATTTTCATAAAGATAGTTTCACATACTAACAATAAAAAGCCTTTAATTTATCATGACACCAGAATGAATAGAACACAAAGGAATAAACTAATGAGGCTGAAGACTTATACGAATAAAACTATAAAACGATTCTGGAAACAAGACCTAGAAAGTGAAAACATACCCCATGTTTGTGGATGGGTACACTGACTGTTATCTGGCTCTAAGGCTCGGATTTGGAAACAAATGCTTGCCTTCATTAAGAGGAAAAGGTATAAAATTAGTTTAGTGGGAATAATGAGTTTGTTCATAACTTGAAATAAAACTGAAATAATGTATTCACACTCTACCTTTGCCCAGCCCACAGCAATGCGACAGGATGATTTTAAAAGCTAAGAAACATATATCCACATGTAGATTCAGTGGTATGTCTGCATCACCACAGTTGTTCTCCCGGAAGATGTGTTTCTCCTGGCCTTTGCACTCTCGGGGTGCCCCCTTTTCATTCCTAACAAGTTACCTTCTTCAGGAACCTAACCACAAGGCTTCTTATATCACCAATGCCAAAAAAAAAAAAAAAAAAAATCAATGCTATTTACAGCAATCTGTATACTTATTTTTTTTTAAAAAATCAACTTCTAGCATTATTTTTTTCAGGAATAGAAAAGTTTACCTTAAAATGAATGAGGACTCTCAAGGGGCCCTCAGATAGTCTCGAGAAGAACAGGAAAGTTGGAAATCTCTGAAAGGATGGTGGGGTGGTTACATCAATGTGTTTGTACCTCTTTATGCTGTACCGTTTGTTGATAAATGCCTAAAAATGGTCATCTCCATACTATGTATATTTTTCCAAGTATAAAACACTTAAACACTTGATATTTGGACATGCTGGTTTGTAAACCAGCTTACGTGACAGAGTGGCACTTCATATATTAAAAAAAAAAAAAAGGTTGTCAAAAGCCTGAGACTAGATAGGTTAGGGGCTTAGGGGAGAGTCACTACCGTTCTGCTAAAGGAGCTTGTCAAATAGTGACTCTGACAACACTATCCTACACTCACAGATCAGTCAGTACCTTTCCTTCCTGCACCAGAGGGGAGCAAATGCAGAGACCCACAACTGGACAATGAGCAGAGAGGGAGAGACCTTGGCACACCAGTCGTAACTGGAATGTCTCCATCAAATCCTTCCCTTCAGAGCTCTGGGAAGAGGAGACAGAAGATAAGAGCCAGAGGGGATGGAAGACATGAAGCAAACAGATACACATACAGCAGGGCTCAGTGCACATATGACCTCGCAGAAAGGATGGCAGCATGCATAGAGCCTGCACAGGTCCAAGCCAGAAGGGGTCCCAGTGCTGGACAGGGGTTCCCTCCCCAAACCAAGAAGCTATTTCTAATTGACAGCTATTTTGCAAAGGAAATTTGAATTTTCTCCTTCGGGTCTTCAATGTAAGGCACACTGAAGAACAGGCCCCATGCCCGGGAGTAGAAGGCAAACACAAAACAAACTCAATGGAATTTTTTGAGATGACGTTATTTCATATTGCTTTGTTTGGGCTCTTTTGCTTTTTTATAATGTTATGGCTCTTTTCTTGTTCTTTTCTGGGTTTTGTTTTGTGTATGTGTCTCTGTGTTTGTGTTTACCCTGCTTTTTTTTTTTTTTTTTTTTTTTTTATAGTTCTGGTTTTGTTTTTGTCTATTTGTTTTCTGAAGGGATGAAGTTGGACCCTGGGAGGAAACAATAGTAAGAATATATTGTATGAAAAAGAAACTATTTTTAATTTAAAAATAAAAAAGTAAGGGGCTGGAGAAATGGCCCAGTGGTTAAGGACACTTACAGCTCTCCCCCAGAACCCAGTTTGGCTCCCAGCACCCATATCAGGGTGCTCACAACCACATGTGACTCCAGGGTCAGGGAATCTAACGCCTTCTGCCTCTGTGGGCACCGCGTGCATTATGGTGCACACAGATTCACACAGGCATGGAAAACACGCAATGCACATACACGAATAATAAGTCCTGACACCAGAAAAATAAAATCAGTTTTGCACACTCTACTCAGGCCCGCAAGCTCTAGCCAGGCTGTTCTCTGAGTGGAGACCAGCACGTCACCAAGATGCTGACCTGCCACTCCTCTGTCATCAACCCCACATCAGACTCTGAAAACATGACACTGTTCCCTATCAGAGGTCAGTTCAAAGCACCTGCCCCGAGAGAGACGAAGATAGGCATATTGTGGGTAAAGCCACGGTGTTTTTTATTTTTCAAAACCTGTGAAATTGAGAAGAGCTGATAGGACCTCGATGTATGCCGTTCTCCACATTTTTTTAGTGTCTGAGGAAAAAAAAAAAAACTTTAAATGTATAAAGAAATGTACACACTGGGGAACTGCTGATTTCCAGTTCATGTAGGACTGCAAGGGATAAACTGAAATAAACCTTTTCCTTCCCAAGTTGCTTGTGATCCTCATGTTTATCGCAGCCATAGAAACCTAACTAGGACATCAGACTGTACATCCGCACTGTGTGTGTGTGCGTGCCAGTGCCCCGGGAGGCCAGGAGAGGACATTGGATCGCTCACAAATGGAGTTAGGGCTGCTTGTGAGCCACCGTGTGGGTGCTAGGAACCTACCCTGTGTCTTCTGCAACAGCAGCAAGTCCTCTTAATATACTGAGCTGTGCCTCTTCGCCTGTTTTCTGACATTTTAAGCTGCTGCTTATTTAAATAATAATTTCTAACATCAGACAAACATGTTGCTTTTGACATTACAAGAAAACATTTTTTTTTGCAATAAAAGAACAAAACTCATCAAAAAAAAAGACTAGTAGAACTTGTGAAATTTTAAAATATCCATGGATAAGGTTTTTCTTTTATGTCAGAAAACTAGGAATAGGAGACTATTAGAGAGCTGTTGAGGAATATTTGGAGAGAAATTTTCTATCATTGTTTCAAAACAGCTTCAAAACTCCCAGCAAGCACATGCAAAATAAGTGAGATGCGTACCTTGGTGCATCGTGAGGAAACCATAGACAAAAACAGACAGTCTCATCGGTTGACTGAGGGACCAACAGAGAAGAGCCCACCCACTCAGTTGTTGGTGGGACTTAGTTATATTTGAATTACCTTGCTTTTTAAAACTTCATTTCTAGCTTATTCTTAACCATACCTTCTTTCTTCATTTTGTTTTTTGTTTTCCTTTTCTTTCTTATTTTCAATTTTTGCCACTGTTCAGTTCTGTTTGGTTTTTGAGACTGGGTCTTGTTGTGTGTGTTGGCATGGAAATTGCTAAGTAGCCCAGGCTGAGTGCTGGGATCACAGTCTTTCATCACTGCACCCAACCATCTCCTCTGTTTCTCCCTTCCTTAAAACTGGGCCTCACTATGTAGGCCCTGATGGTCTAGAACTCCCAGTGTAGACCAGGCTGGCTGGAATTTGTAAAGATCTACCTGCTTCGGACTCCTAAGCGCCAGGATTACTGGCGTGCACCACCATGCCCAGACACATTTTCTCAACGTAGGATCCTTTTTGTTGGACATTTCACAGTATGGTGGCTTGCTATGAAGGTTCTTGAATCTATTGCACCTCAAAACAAGCTTACCTGACAGTCTGGAGCATAGAGAAGGATCAGCATACATTTGGGCTTCATGTAAATTGGTCTGTCCACTGTAGTCGTCAGTATGCCTTCTGTGACTTCTAAGTTTACTCTCTTAATACTTTTTAAAATGTGATCAAAATTGATTTTTGAAACGTATTATTATCGTATGCGTGTCCATGACGTGGGTGTGACACATGTGTGACAGTGTGAGTGTGGAGGTCACAGGACAACCCTGTGTCGTCAGTCCTCTCTCTCTGCCTTTATGTGGAACCTGGATCCTGACTCAGGTCACCAGGTTTGTGTGACTACTGCCTTTAACTAACAAGCCATCGGGCCAGCCCCTGCGTTGATCTTTTTATAAGCGTCTCTGTAATGCCGAGCATGGATGTGCCCTGCTAGTCAAAGCACGCAATCTCATTCTTGGTGGGACAGGTAGGTCTGTTCTTCAAGCCTCAGCTTTGTGTGTGGACGTGCCGTCGCCCATCAGTCAATTTTATCAGCACATTTTACGATGCCCAAATATGTCACTAGTCTCTTTCCTTTTGTGTAGGATCCAAATGAAGATACAGAATGGAATGAAATTTTAAGAGATTTCGGCATCCTTCCTCCGAAAGAAGAACCAAAGGATGAAGTTGAAGAGATGGTGCTACGCTTACAGAAGGAAGCAATGGGTACAGTGTGCATTGGTGGGCTGCATGCGGGGACAGCACGATGAAGGGCACGGACTAGATTTCAGAAACGCAGGAGAGGAAAGTAGATATTACTTGCTATAAACGCTGACCATCTACTTGAAATTAGGAGACTGACATCTAAAGTGGCCGATTTGTATGTTGAAAGGCATGTGTCAGTTACTAAAAGTTCAATATCCCTCCACTCTGAGATCACCTTCCCTTTTGCTTATTCTATATATGTTTTTTTTTTTTTTTTTGGGAGGGATTGGTTTTCCAAGACAGGGGTTTTTCTTTGTGTAGCGTTGGCTATCCTGGACTTGCTTTGTAGACCAGGCTGGCCTTAAACTCATAGACATCCACCTGCCGCTGCCTCCCAAATACTGGGATTAAAGGCGTGCACCACTACTACCTGGCCTATATAGTGTATTTCTCATTCAGGCTTCCAGGTACTTGGAGGAAACCTGTACTTAGGGGATCTAATTGATTTTCCCAACTGCTCTCTAAAGTGTCCTGTCTGTGAGCTTTGAGGGGATCAAAAATGCTAATATTGTAGTCTATGTAATATGTAAGCATGTTTTGGCTGGTTGCTGCCAGTTTGTTAAAGAGACTTGATCTCCATTACCTAAGTTGTTAGGATTGTGGGTTTTGGTTTGTTGTTTGTTTGGTTGGTTTTCTGGATGTTGGTTGTAAAGTAAAAAAATAATGTTTGGAGAATTTGATTACCTAAAATTTATGTTTCAGTCAAACCATATGAGAAGATGACACTTGCACAGTTGAAGGAAGCTGAAGACGAATTTGATGAAGAAGACATAAAAGCTATTGAGACATACAGGTACAGTATTGCGTTACTGTGGGATTTTCCCTGAGAAACTGGCTGATAGTCTTACAATCTACTTGATGCCATAGCTTGCTTTTCTCTTACTGCAGTCAAGATTCTGCCTGTCAGACTGTCAAATTGTCAAATTGTTGTGTCACCACATGGGTATCTTCGTGTTTAGCCTACTTGAAGTGTATCTGATGATGTTGGATTTTAAACATCATGTTGTGTCTTTATTCACATTTGGGAATCAGTCAGCCAGTAACTGAGGAGACACTTTGATTCTTTCTGTATGTCTGCTGCTTCTGGGACTCCCACAATAGTATGTTGATCTGCTGGGCGATGGCCCAAAGGCCCCCTGGGCTATGTTCACTCTTCTCTTTCTCCTCCTCCTCCTTCTCCTCCTTCTTCATTGTTGTTACTTGTGTGTTTTTAAACTATGTTCTTCTGGGTTAATAATAGCATTAGTACTACCTTTTGATTTTCCAATTCTTTCTTTTTTGGTTGCTTGACTTTATGAAACCCTCCAGCATGTTTTTCATTTTAGTAAATTCTCTTGAATTCCCCTTGAGGGTTGTTACCTGCAACGCTTGTAATACGAAATGTGAAGTATTTTTTCTCATGAGCTCACATATTTCAGCATTTGGTCTCCATTTGGTGACGCTGTTTGGGGAGGTAATGCAGCTGTGGTGGAGAGCTGTGTCACTGGGATTGGCTCTCCAAGCCCATCGCCCCAGTCTGCTTCCAGTCTGCTCTCTGTGCATTTGTGCTTGCTGTCTCTCAGCTTCCTGCTCTGGCTGCTATGCCTTTGTGCTGCCATACCTTTCTACCACGATGAACTCTCAACCCTCGTGAACCATAGGCCCAAATAAACTCTTCCAGTTGCCTTGGGCATGGTAGCTGCTATAACAAATAGATGAACTTTCAGAACTATCATAAGAGAAAGAAAATAGTGAGAAAAGGCTCTATAAATAGAAAGAAAATTATTAACTACCAGATCTTGAAATAAACAAATCAGAGGTAACCAGAAATGGATACAGGACCTATTTGTGGCTATCAAAGAGTTAATTGGGACTGGAGAGGTGGCTCAGTGGTTTAGAACTCTGGCTGACCTTCCAGAAGACCTGGTTTCCCAGCATGCACATGGAGGCTCACAGCCATCTTCAGTTTCAGGAGATCTGACCCTGCTTCTGTCTTTCATGGGCAGCAGGCACCCAAGTGGTACACAGGTATACACGCACACAGAATGCTCATGCACATAAATACACGTAAATTTTAAAAATGCTTTGAGTTGTATTGTGGTAATGATTCCTTAACTTTTTTTGGTTTGGTTTCTTGAGACAGGGTTTCTCTGTGTAGCCCTGACTGTCCTGGAATTCACTCTGTAGACCAGGCTAACCTTGAACTTTGTGATGCCTCTGCCTCCTAAGGCAGATTAAAGGCATGTTGGGGGTTTCCTAAATGTTTTGATCATCTCCTACATGTTTCTTGAGAAGCTTTTTCCCAGGCAGTGACTGTGGCCTGGGCTCGTTTCTCTAGCGCCACATCACCTTAGGAGTCAGGGGTCTGTGTAGAAAGGCTGCACAGGACACCTTAGGACTTAGTACCAGAGAGGGACACAACATTTTTCATTGCTGTCTCATTGGTTGCAATCTAGTCTCACAAGCCACAAAAGAGACATCTGTAATGATCCTTAGGTTCTAACAAAGCCACGGGATAAGATAAAGAAGTGACAGATATCTTATTCAAGAAATTAGAGACCAAAAAAAAAAAAAAAAAAGAAAAAGAAAAAAGAAAAAGAAAAAAATGCCAGCGGTGGTGATGGAACAGGCCTCTAATTCCAGCATTTGGGAGGCAGAGGCAGGCAGATCTCTGTGAGTTTGAGGCCAGCCTGGTCCATAGTGTGAGTTCTAGGACTTTGCTATGCATAGAGAAACAATGTCTCGAAAAACCAAAAAGGAAAAAGAGAAAGAAAAGTAAAGACAAAAATGCCACTGGGTAGGTAACCAGTTATGAAATAGCAAGTAAATTAAACCCAGAAGCTCCTCTAGCCAAAAGAAGGAAGGAACGCCTAAATGTGCCAGTGAACATATCTGCAGTATATTTTTTGGCAAATACACTAAACTGTCTTATGTGACACATGTTCTCTTTCTCTTGATACATGTTACATTCTTGTTGTGCGTTATAGTAGTTCAGGAGCTGGAAGAGTTCCCTGCTGCAAGGACAACAAATGTTTCAGGTTCTGCTAACACACCCACAGGATATTTGAGTTCAGCGCTAAATTAAATGGAGAAAGCAGTAGGAAAAAAAGTGAAGAAAAAAAGGGAAGCAAAAAAGGGAAGAAAAGTGACTATTTAAGTGGTCTGAGCCTAGAACTGTGTCATAATTCTGGAGCCATTGCTCTGGCAGTCATTTCATCCTCTCAAATTGTTGCTAGGGAGCCTGGCTCCTGGTGCCAGCAGTAGTTATTGTGCCTGAGTCTCAGAGTAATGTGATACTTGGGCCAACAACTGGAATCTAGATCCCCCAGTTTCTGGATTGCCGCAAAGAAAGCCTTGGCAGACCAGTTTTGCAGTGTTGTTCTGGGAGACATTCCTGGTTGCCCAGCCTAGAGTCTGTTCCTTCTTCCTTTTCAGCAAGTTTGCAAAGGCCTAATTTCCCAGATTGAGTTTCTTTCTGCCTAAAATAGCTAGAGGGCTTTCTGCGTCTGTTCGTGAATCACAATTGATTTGATTGTTAAGTGAAAAATGCAGGCCACGGAACAGTGTCTTTCTGATGGCAGAACTAACGCCCATGTGTTAACCTTTCCAGTGAAATAGCAGGGAGGATGAGGGGGAGGGAGAAGTTGACAGTTGTACTAATAAGAAGGTACCTAGTAGTAGACCTGGTTCTGCATTGTTCTCTTTGGGTTTCATTGTGGTTGCCTTCATTGTGAGTTTTCAAAGTGAGTTTTCATCTGGTGTGTTTCTAACCTGGGAAATGAGGCCAGCGTGTTGTGTGTTCTGAAGCACGTGCAAAAGGTTTTGTTTGCTTTAATACAAGTGTCATCAAGAGTGATTACTACTGAACAGTTACCATTCTCAAGAGGAGGCATACACCATGGCACATGGGGCCACAAAGGGCTACAGGTCAAGATCAAAAGCACAAGGGGAAAAAAAATCCCCCACAGCCTTTGTAGTGGTTTCTGTGGGAAGGGATATGCGAGGCAGGGGAAAGCAGGCTTATGATTGGCTGCCTGAATCATTTAGGTGGGCTCTGGGTGAGGTCATGAGTCATCTGGTTCAGTGATGACTAGGGCAGGGAGCCTTATAAGAAAAAACAAAACAAGCACCGAAGGGGGCGAAAGGTGATTGAAACCAGGCATGATGGTACATGCCCAAAGCCCCAGATACTTGGGAAGCTAAGATGGGTGGATTACCTGAACCCAGGAGTTTGAGACCAGTCTGAGGGGGAGAAAGGGAGAGGGAGACTGGAGAGAGAATACAAAGCTACTGAGGGTGTGCTTTCAGGGCTGGCTGGTTTGCGTTTGAAGAATGTGTTGTCAGGCAAGTGTTTGTTCTTTCTCAGAACCAGCTGGTTCTGAACTGAGTATTCCCTGAAGGATTAGCAAAGTTCTAGATGCCAGAACACCAAGAATGCAGAAAGTGAGGGCCAGGAAAACGTCTCAGTGAGGAGAGGTGCTTGCTGCCAAGCCCCATAACCTGAGTTTGTTCCCTGGAACCCACCTGCTGGAAGGAAAGAACTGCAAGAGGATTACATGTGCAGTGGCATGCACAAGTATGCACATATATATGTTTGCGCATGCATGCACATACACAGGCACATACATACATATAGACATATAATAAACTATAACAATTTTTTAAAAGAATACAGAAAATAAGATGGAGTTATAGAGAGAGAAACAGGAAGAAGTACCCGCAGCTGCTCTTGGCTCCTTTGTGGGTTCTTCTTTTACCCACCCTTTATCCCACCCCTCATTTCACCCCCTAGCACTTGATAGAAGAGAGAGAGTGATGGTGTGAGTGAGAAACATCCCTGAATCTAATTTCTTTTCCAGCTTCTGTACATTTCAGTTTCTAGCCCAACCCCTTCAAATGTGTCTCCCAACCATTCCTTCCTCAGTTCCCCAAAAGTCTGCTCAACAGTCCCTTCTCCCAGTTTTCCCAATATTAGCAGCTCCAAACTATGACAACTGTTCTAGCCTACCTGCTCAGCATGGCTTCTCCTGGTTCAACTGTCTCCTAACAATATCTTCTTCCCCAACTGCCTTCTCTTCTCATTCTATTCATCTCTCTCAGCCTCTGCTGGCAGTTTTATATTCACTCCTGTTCCCAGAAGTCCAAGACACAACCAACGTCGAAGGTCATAGGATCAAGTGGTTCTAAAGGCTAAGAATTCTTGAAGGGCCAGTTAGCAAACCAGTGGGGATCCTTTAAAGGGCCAGGAGTACAAGATAAATCCTACTACATTTACCCTAGCAAACTGAAGTACAGGAACTTATGGGTGTGCTGTAAACTACTTGAGGTTACTTAATAAATCCAAGCACAGCTTATTCATCAACGTATGCAAATTTGAGAGTTACTAACAAAGTTTTAATGTTCTATATGGATGAGTAAGAAACAAATAAAAGTTTACCATGTGCCGCACACCTTGCTGAGAAATTAACGTACTACTTTTCTTATTGCTGTGACAATATACCTAAGAAAAGAAAGGTTTATTTTGGCTCCTTGATTGAGGGCTCCATCCATCATGGTGTGGATGTCATGGCAGCAGGAACTTGAAGAAGCAGAGATGGACACTGAAGCTCAACTTAATTACTTCTCTTTTATCAGCCCAGAACCCTATCCACAGCCAGAATTGATCTTCCCTGCTTGCTCAAACCTTTCTGGAACACCGCCCCCACACGGCCCAAGTAGGGGCGTCTCCAGGGTGGTTTCCTATGGCGGTCAGGTTGATGGTGAAGATTACCTATTTTGCCACCTAATCCCCAGCGATCCCTCCTGATCAGGTTTAGTGGTTTTTGTCATGCGGAGATAGGGAAAAGGGAAATTAGAGAAGTTAAATAACTCACCCAAGTCTGTGCTACTCTCAAGTGCTGGATCTAAACCCTGCTTTGCCTGATGGTGGAGTTCAGATTCTTAGTCACTTTCCTCTGCTGCCTTAGCCTGTAATTCAGTTACCTTAATAACAAACAATTCTAGATGTCCACAAAGGCATAACTTTCGGACTGCATAACTTGCCCCGTAATAGGCCTATAACTGGGGAGAATGATAATACTGACTTCATCAAGTTTTTGCAAGGACTAAATTAGTTAGTGTACTTAAAGTAGTGCCTGGCAACACAGCAGACACTCAGCAATACTATTATTGTTGCTCAAGGTATTCACTGATGAAGCTTTTTGGTGTTTGTTGTTGTTGGGACACAAGAATTTGCAGTGGACTGGAGAGATGGTGCAGAGGTTGAGAGCACTGGCTATTCTTCCAGAGGACTCAAGTTCAGGTCCTAGCACACACATGATAGTTTACAACTATCTGTAATTCCAGTTCTTGGGGATCTGACACCCACTTTTGGCTTTGGCAAGCACAAATATGGTACACAGACATGCATGCAGGCTAAATACTCATGAATAATAAATAAGAAATAAAGAATTTTGTTAAAAAAAAAAGAAAGAGAAAAAAATTGTTAACCCAATACCTAAAAAACCTGATGTTGTGTGTGACAAAACTTTTCCTGGAGAGATGGGACACGTACCTCCATTCACCTCAGGTAGAGAAGCCACGAGAGAATAAAGTATGGCTACCAGAGTCCAATTCACTGAACCAATGACTTTCATTAGGGTTACTTACAGGAATATTAGGGTTACTTACGGGAATATGGGTGAGGAGCATTAATGACTCAAAAAGACAGCTGAATCAGCAAGGCCCACCCCAGCTCACAAAGCTGGGAACCTGGAGCCCACTGCCCAGCCTGCAGGCAGCTCAGCAGGTTGGAGAGCGTCCTCTAAATGTTGATCAGTCAGTACAGACTTCATCCCGATAGCTGAACTGGTTTCTGCTTCTTCCAGGCAGCTGCTCGGTTCTGAGAGTCTTCCTCGCAGCTTGTATTGCTTATTCTAGCGGGGAGGGGCCCAGTGAATTTGGTCAATTTCAGGGACTTCCTGCATCAATTTTTGAGTTTTTGTTTTTGTTTTTCCTTCCTGCTTAAGTTTCACGACAGTGTGGAAAGTTTCAATCTCAGAGAAAACTGTTATATGATACCTAGTCTTAAAAATAATTTCAAAGTCAATAGTGAAGTTCTTACGGTTGCTATACATACAATCATACCAATTCTCATACAAAAAGAGAAATGGCTTTCTAAGCTCCTTAGTGGTTATTCAGTTATTCAGTGTTGTTATGTATGGGCATCACATTTGTTACTCATAATTATTATTGGATATTGATTGACCTATAAGAACATACACTTGGGGCTGGAGAGATGATCCAGTTGTTAAGAGTGCTTACTGATCTTGCAGAGGATGTGGGTTTGGTTCCTGGGAACCCCCATCAAATGGCTTATCAGTGCCTATAACTCCAATACCAGGGAACCAGAGGCCTTTTAGCCTCCTCAGGCATGTGCAAACACCTGGAACACATAAACACACAGACAGGCAGACAGATATACATACACACAGGAAGAGAAAAAGAATAAATACACAAAAATAAAGACTATAATACTTACATAACATTTTTGTTTTAATTAGAGAAAAGCGGTTAAAAGAATGGAAAGCACTTAAGAAGAAACAAAAATTTGGGGAATTGAGAGAAATTGCTGGAAATCAGTATGTGAATGAAGTCACAAATGCAGAAAAAGACTTGTGGGTTATAATTCATCTATACAGATCAAGGTAATTACCACAATATTTCAGAATGTTGGTGTTGTGTTTCTTTTAAAACACTCCTAGCTTTAGGGTCTGTGACACCCACGATGAAGAATATTTAAGAAAAAATATATTCATATTGCATATGAATACATTATAGAAATTTTATCTTTAGGGATTAAGTTAAGCGTGCTAAAATATTTTCATTTCTAATCTGAAGGATGTCACATTTGTAAGACATTATCAGTGGTAGTGAAAACCTGTATTTGTCCCCCTCCTTCTTTGCTAAACTGACCTCAAATTCAGCCAAGGATGGTCTTGAACTCCTGATTTTCCTTCCACCTCCACTAATTCTGAGATTAGTGTGCACCATCATATGTGTTTTATGATGTGCTGGGGATCAAACTCAGGACTTCATGTGTGTTGGGTAAACACCCCACCAGCTGAGCTCCATTCCTCGATCTTGTAGGCGCTTGAATCTTGGCAACCCTGAGCTCGCTAAATCTTGTAAATTTCTAGGGTTTCCTGACTCCTTCAATTTTCTAAGCTTCCTGGGTCTTCTGGTCTCATGTCTTTGGCCCACTTCCCTCTCTGCTTTCCCCTTCTAAGGGGAAATGTTTCAATCCTGAGTAAGTTTCACAGCAAGTTCTCATTCTTGGTATTGGTATCAGAAAAGAAATAAAAATGTTTCTTGGGTTGGGAAAGGAGACAGGCTTGAATGAGGCCTTATAGATGGACCGCACAACCTTAACAAGAGTACAGTCGTCAGATTTGTCACAGTGCTTCCAGGCTTGGGAGTGTCAGCCTCAGTTACACAGTGTGACACTGTGTCAGGCAGGTTGCCATGCTGGAGAGGAGAGCAGCGACCAAATCATGAAGACCTTCTGAAACTACACTAAGGAGTTCAGATTGTATGCCAAGCCAGTGAGGAGGAAGCACTGAAGCTTTTTAAGTTTGGGCAAAGTGTGCTATCTCAGGGTTTTATGGGAGTGTTATAATGTGTTTCCTTTGAAGTAGGGCCAACTATGGATATGGGTAACAAATTTGCTAATTAAGGTAACAATGTAGCTCAGCTGAGGAACTAGTAAAGCAGTGGGCAAGGAAAGAAGATAGAGAGCAATGAAACAAGAGATGGAGTTGATGTGACTTGATTACTGTTTAGATACTGTAGAGAGATTTTTGGGCTGAGCCAACGTAGGAAATAATGAAAAAAGATTAGTTTTGTTTTGTTTTGTTTTGTTTTTTGTTTTTTCTTTTTCAGTTTGGGTCTGGGGTTGGGTTAAGGAAGGGAAATGAAATCTATTAGCTGCGTTAAGAAACCTTTACAGCCAGGCATGGTGGTGCACACCTTTAATCCCAGCACTCAGGAGGCAGAGGCAGGCAGATGTCTATGACTTCGAGGCCAGTCCGGTCTACAGAATAATTTATAGAACAGCACAGTCAGGTCTACACAGAGAAACCCTCTTTCGAAAAAACAATACAACAAAAACAAAGAAAGAACCCCTCCTCCTAAACACTTACATTTATCAGGGAGACAGAAGAGGGAACTCAGAGAGGTTAAAAGGAAATTAATAGAATGTAGTAACCCAGAAACCAAAGGTGGAGAGCGTCCCAGTAACAGAGGCAACCGAAACACAGAGCCTGGCTTTTGTTGTTGTTTGAGGAACCGCTCCCCTGTGCCCTTTTATCTTAGCTGTGACTATGAGGAAAGAAAGCAGTTATTAGAAAGGGGTGTGAAATTATAACAAACCTAAGATTCATGAGCTTTAGCATGTTTACCCATAAAGTGGGGAAAGTCTTTGGAGAAGGGAAAGTGAAAACACACGAGAGGGAAGCAGACTAAAACCAGGGAGCTGGAAGAAAGTAGAGATGTGGGTGGGTGTGGGGTGTGGGCCAGCCCTAAGCTCACCTGCTAAAGCTCAGAGTGACAGGGTAGCCTGAAGGGATGGGTTGAAGGATGGATAGGGTAAGAGTTCTGTGATGGATGAGGCAGGAAGAACTGCAGGTTTGGGATCCTGTTTGCATTCAGTTTTAAATTAAACCTTAGAAGAGAAGTAATTCGGGACACTGGGATACAGGATATTGAATACTGTGGGTGAAATTTGTTAGGATCAAGAAGGTCAAAGAAGTCTGAGATGAGGAACTCTGGATATGAGCACGGGTGAAATAAAACTGTCAAGTGACCACAGCTGGATCCCTTTATTTCAGCTCAGGACTGCTGCAGATTCCCCAAGCAGCTCCTGTTTTTTCAATGGTGACCTATGGTCTTCAATCCAGGAACCAGCTTAAAGTGATGCTAAGCGGAATACAGTTTTCCACATTAGGTAGCAGATTCTGATGGTACCAGCATCATTCCCAGGCAGTATTTCCAAAAAAAAAAAAAAACCAAAAACCAGAGGGTGCTAACACAGTCCATCTTTGCTAAAGGTTGCAGCATACGATACGGATATGCTTTTCTTTAAAAAATAAAGAGCTCTTGTTGCAATAGAGAGGTTTCACTTCTTTTACTAGACTGAGAGGAGCGATATTATTTGAAGCATTATCATTATGTGTACATTCTCTCTCTCTCTCTCTTTTTTTAGCATCCCCATGTGCTTGTTGGTTAACCAGCATCTTCGTGTCCTAGCAAGAAAGTTTCCAGAAACCAAATTCGTTAAAGCCATTGTGAACAGCTGCATTCAACACTACCATGACAACTGTTTGCCAACAATTTTTGTTTATAGAAATGGTCAAATAGAAGGCAAATTCATTGGAATTATAGAATGTGGAGGGATTAATCTCAAGCTCGAAGGTAATGATGTTATTTTTAAAATTTTTACAAAACAAACAAGTGGAAACTTCTCTAGATGAACAAGTATGAAAGTTTATTTCTTTGAAACAAAGTTCCCCCTTACTTTTCTTCTCTTTTTAAGAATTTAGAAATTATTCTTGTGTGTCTGAGTGTTTGCCTACGTGCGTGTTTGTGTCCCTGTATCAATGTGCACGCTTAGTGTCCATGGAAGCCAGAAACAGGTGTCACATTCTCTGGAACTAGAGTTACAGGGACTCATGATCCTACCCTGTGGGTGCTGGGATCTGTCTCTCCAGCCCCCACTCAATTCCCTTTTTAAATGCCTCCAGATCAGCTTTCCTGTTGTCACGCTTATAACACTGTCTGCTTAAAATTCTTAATGGTGTCCGTCTAAAGTGACTTTAAAATGTAAATCATCTAGTTTAGAATCTAGTCTACTTCTGCAACTCTGTTTCTCTGTTCTGTGTAATGTCTGCTTTAGCCATCCTGAGCTTAGTCACTACAGTCCCCAGACAGACCTCTGTGCTCACACTTTTACCTAAATTCCCCACCAGTTCCTGGTCCAAACCCTTTTCCTAAGGTTTTCCTCATTTCTATTCATCTCCCACATATTCCTGGACTTTTACAACTCTTCCCCTTTTCTGTGGACTTTCTGTCCTGTGCATTCTCTGTGCTGCCTAGTCACATGTCCCCCTGGTTTTGTTGATTGGTAATTCCCCCATGAGTCTCCACCTCTGGTACAGGTGAGGAAAAACCAGTCTTCTATTTTCCTGTCTAGAGCAAACAGCACAGGACTTTATATTGTTCACCTTTTTTTTTTTTTATAAATGTTTTTCAACCCTGAAGTCATCCCTTTGACTTTTTCATGCCTGTTTCATATTGTTTTAACCTATTTTATGAAGTTGAACATCTTTATCATCACCATGTTAGATACTATCACTCAGTGACCCTGACGTTCACATTGTGATATTGCTGTAACTTTCATCTATCTCCACAACTCTTTATCACTTTGTATAATGAAAGTCTGGACCCATTAGAGAGTAACCTTTCATTTTACTCTCTTTCCCTTCCCTGGATGCTGCCAGTCTACTTTCTGTCTTTATGAAGTTGATGACTTTAGACACGTCATATAAGTAGGATAATGCTGAGTTTTTTTTGCCCTCATGCCTATCACTCAACATCCTGTCGTCAAGGCACACCCTTCAGAAAGTGTTAGATTTCCTTCTTTTAGGTCTGAACAATGTCCCATTGTCAACATAGGCCACATTGCAGGTATACATCCTTCATCAGCGGATACTTACATTGTTCTTACCTTTTGATTGTTATGAATAATACTATTGAAACATGGATGTGCAGATCACCTGTTCAATAATTTGGGAAATAATACCCAGAATAATATTGCTAGGCCATATGGTTATTCTAATTTATGTTTTGAGAGACTGAGTCATTTTCTTATACTTTAGCCATAACGTATATGTGAATATACATATATGTATTTTAGCACACACACACATTCATATACATACATAGAAATGTTAGGAATTATTGTATTAGTAAATCAGTATATCATCCGGAAATTTATTTTTTTTTAAGCTCAACAATAGTTTTTCAAACTTCTTCCTTGGTATCTTATTTAATAATTTTAAATCTTAGCGTTTGCTCATTAAATACACCTTAGTTTATGTGTTTGTCTCCCCCTTTCTGAGAGAATGTGAGCTGATTTCTGATGACAATTTCTTCCGCAATCCTCCTGGTGCCCATCTGTGAAAATCCACTAGGAAGGTGTCTGTGATGTTGTCAGTCGTCAGCTTGATAAAGGGTAGAATCTAGGAGAGGTGGACTTTGGGCAGATCTCTGAGGGGATTGCTGCCTTATGTTAATTGAGGTGGAAGAGCCATCTCCTGTGGGTGGTACCATTGCCCAGGTGGAGGATGCTAGAGTAGGTAAGAGTGGAGAAAGCCCACTAGGCATGTAGACATGCATTCACTGCTCTCCCCTGACTGCACACATAATGGACTGTAACGGAACTGCAAGCTAAATCTACCCATTCTCCTTTAAATTTCTTTTGTCAGGGTATGTTACCATAGCAACAGGAAAGGAAACTAAGGCTCTACCAATGATAGTGTTAATTTCTCCTCTTATCAGCCCTGTATAAGAGTTCTTATTTATCCACATCTCCATCAGCTCTTAGAATTGTTATATGGGTGCAGTTTTCTCAAGCTGATGGATATACAATGTTATCTTTTGGGTTTTGGCAATATTGGGGATTGAACCCAGGGCTTTGTGCATACTAGACAAGTCTCTACCTCTGAGCTTTAATGTCATTGCTACAAAAATCTTGTCACTATTTAAATTTGGAAAACTAGTGGGGTTAAGCATTCTTTAATAGATGTTGGTCATTTGGTGTCTTCTATTTGCTTTGTCCATTTTTCAGTGTGTTCTTTTGTTGAGTTATGGAAGCATGTGAGGTTCTGCCCACTGTTTCTATGGCACCATTTGCAGGTTCTCAGTAGCTTACTACTTAAGTTCCCCCTGCACCCCAGGTTCATGTATTTTTCTGGGATGTATGTGATTGAGCCCAAGCGCTCTACCACCGAGTTACACTTCCAGTAATTTTACTTTAAGTTTGTTTTAGAAATTGCCACACAGTTTTCCCTAGTGGACGTACCGTACACATTCTACCCGATGGTCAGTATACAAGGCTCTTAAGTTCTCTTTGATCTTATCAATACTAACTAGTTGGTTTTGGTTTTTTGTCTTTGTTTTTTTTAATAGCTAGCCTGGTGCATGGAATGGGGTGTTTTCTGTTTCTGTTGTAATGCTTCAATTTATTTCTGAGATCTTTACTATGGTCTTCTAGGGTTTTTTTTGTTGTTGTTGATTATCCTTATATTAATAGAACACTGTATTTAGTGTAGCTTTATAGTGATACAACTATCTCTAATAAATCAGAATTTCATATAATTTATAATTAAGTTCTATTAAAAAGGTAATGTATTTATTAGAATATTTATAGATTAGCTGTTAAAGTGACATCCTAGTGTGCTGAAAGGATAGCTCAGTGGTTAACAGCACTGGCTGCTCTTCCAGAGGACTCAGGTTCAATCCCAAGACCCACATGGGAGCTTACAACTGTGTAGCTCCAGTTCCAGGGAATCCGATACCTTCACAGACATACATACAGAAAAACACTAGTGCATATAAAATAAAAAGAAATCTTTTTTTAAAGTGGCATCCTACTTCCTATTTTGATATTTTGTTTAAAATATATTTCACAATTTTCTTCACAAACATTTTGATTACATAGAACTTAGTTAATAAATAAAACATAGTGATAGATTTGCAGGAATAGGACATTTAGTGATATCAACTTGATTATTTTTTGTTGTTGATAGATCTATTTTGGTAATTTATATTTTTCTCAAAAAATTCTTCAATTAACAGTCTTTATAATTTTTCAGGTGTGTTGGTTAATGTCTCTTCCCAGTAGGACTATGGCTTTTAAAATATTGAGTTTTAATTTTTATGAATTAGTCAGTTATTCTCTCCTGTACCAGATCTTGGTTTTGTGAGGGCTTTTACTTTGTAGAGAGGATCTAGACCTCCTGTTCAGATGTAGCCCATAGGCAGCTCGGTCTTCATGTGGGTTACCTAGTAAGGGGAACAGGAGCAGTCTCTGACATGAACTTGGTTGCCTGCTCTTCATTTCCCCCTGGCAGGATGAACTGGCCGGCCCACAAAGGAAGAGGATCCAGGCAGCCCTGATGGGATCTCATAGGGCTAGGATCAGACAGTAGGGGACAGTTAGGGGAAGAAAAGGGAGGGAGGATGGGACTAGGAGGAGATGAGGGAGGGGGCTACAACTGTAATACATGTTGAATAAATTGTAAATAATAACAATAATGAAAAAAGAATTACCCAGTGTAATTCTGATAGTATAATACTTTGTCATTCAGTTTAAATAAATCTTCAATTCCACATTATTATTTCTTTTTTATATTTTATCTAGTGTATGTGTGTGTGTTTACTGGCATGACATAGTTTGTACATGAAGTCAGAGGATAACTTTTAGAAGTCAGTTCTCTCCCACACATGTGGGTCTTAGGGCTCAGTCTCAGGTTGTCTGTCAGACTTGCTGCAAGCACCTTTATCCAGTGAGCCCTCAAGCCAGACTCAAGTTCATGCTAATTTTTATCAGAGTCAGCTCCTGTTTCATGTAGATGAGAAATTCATAATCATTTTCCAAGATTTTTTATCCAGTTTAACGATGAGATTTTATTTATTGTAGAACTTGAATGGAAACTATCGGAAGTTGGCGCAATACAGACTGACTTGGAAGAAAACCCAAAAAAAGGCATTGCAGATATGATGGTGTCTTCAATTAGAAACATTTCTATTTATGACAGTGATAGCTCCAACAGTGATAATGATGCCAAGTAGAAAAAGTTAATAAATAGCTTTAAAGCATACGTATTGAATGCTTTATTTCCCATTAACATTATAATAAGATACAATGTGTAGACTTTATTTTAATTTTTATGTAAAAATTATAGCCTATATGTCAATCAAAAAATTTCTGATATTTAAGAATATTGTCTATTGCAAATATGGATTTTTACTTCTTAATATTTTTCTGTAACTTTCTTTTTCTGACTCCTGTTGGACAAAACCAACAAATACTTCAAGTCCTCTGTATAGCCTATTACTTCCCAAAAGACCCATGAAAGGAAATAAATATGACTTCTTAAAATAAAGTTAATATATTTTGTATGTATGCACCCATGCATATATATAGGTGTGCACGCCTGCAAATGTACATGTGAAGGTCTGAGGTCAATTTGGGGTGTCTTCCTTAACTGCCTTCCATCTTAATTTCCAAGATAGGACCTCTCATAGCAAAGCTGGACTGGCTGAGCAAGGAGCCCTTTTCCCTGTCCCCATCCTTCGGTCCCTGCATGCAGGCACACAATGCCACACCTGGCTCTGACCTGGGTGCTGAGGATCTGGACTGCAGTTTACCAGGGAGCCATTGCTACAGGTGCTAAGTCAATACATTTTAGAGTCTGTTTTCTAGGAAAATCTTATCAAGAAATTGCAGCCTAGTTCTAGCCATTCAATTCCTGAACTCTTTAAGTGACAGACTGTTTCTTGTTCAGGATACAAACAACTTTGGGATGAAAGGAAGAGCCATATTATTATAAAGTCACAATGCAGCTCTTGTGCTATCTAATGCATATAAGCATGGGTATTCATTTTCCCTCCGAGTGAAACCAAGTGTAAAACATCTCCATGATGTAGTCTTTTCCTTTCATTTTAAATTTTATTTATTTAATATGCATGGGTGTTTTGCCTATATGTTTATTCTGCACATCACCTCTGCCTGATGCTCTAGGAGCCCAGAAGAATATATCAAACACCCTGGAACTGGACTTGTAAACAGTTGTGAGCTGCCGTGATTCTGTGGAAAATCAAACCCAAGTCCTCTGGAAGAGCAGCCAGTGATCTTAACCACTGAACCATTCGTCCAGCACATCTCTCTCTGTCTGTTTTACTGTCTCACTCCTCTCTCTCTTTCTTTCTTTAGTTTAAAGTAGCTGTCACTTTCTTTTTAATGTTAAAATTAACAGAATAGCTAAAATAAAAGGAAAACTTTTCCTTCTTGACTCTGATTCACCAGAAGACAGTAGCAAAGGTTTATCCACAAAGACTGTAAAAACTGTACAATCACCATAAGAACAGGATGGTTGATTCTAGCCTAACTCTTCCACAAGATGTACACATATTCTCCCAGCAAAGGCTCATACTGATAATCCCAGCATGAGCCTCTACTATTTCAAAAATACATTTGTCATTTCAGCAGGATATAGATATTTGTCAGTGTGTGAGAAAATTGATAATGTAGTGTTTTTCACTATATTGAAAAATTTCATAGGGCAGAAACTTGACAGTTTTTAATTGCCAATACTTACTAATTGTGTGTAGTGCTCGTTTTTAAAACTACTTTATTTGGGGTATCGAGGCCTCAACCTTTCTTCCAACCTCCCAACTCTGTGGAGGAGAGAGAAAGTAGCAAGAGAGGTAAAAGATCTTAATTTACTTCTCTATTTCTCCCAGCTGTTTGGGGTCAGGGGTTTCTTTTAGGGCTCTATACCAATCTCCATCAACAGCAAATGCAGGCAGCAGTCTCCTCCATGCCTCTGCACCCTGAAGCATTTCTCTCTGTCTGTCTGCCCCACACTGCTACATGCCAGATGCCAACACTGCATACCACAGCTTCTCGGCTCTCATATTTATACTCTCAGAGTCCTAGATCACGCCCCTCTCCACACAAGAAAATTAACAGGTGTGGACAAACTATAACCCAACTAAAATCCCACGCTTGGGATTAAAACAAAAACATATTTACAAAAACCCAAAACTTCCATTACAATTGTGTCTTATAAGGTGGGCACTTTCCATTTCATTCTAGCATTTTTAACTATTCTAAACAATTGTGCGCTGTCGAAACCTTTCTCTACTCACAGTGTCTGATTTAAGTTTGCTCCTAGTGTTATGGGCATTTCCAGGAAGTTGGTTAGAAGTGCATGATCTCTGGTCCTATACAAACTAACTGGGTTGAATTTTCTCTTTAATGAGATTGCCTGGGTGACTGGCATGTGCATTAAAATTTCAGGAGTACTATGCAGCAAATCCCTTAAAGCATGAGTATGTTAACCTCTCCCTACACTGCATTAATAAATCTACCCAAGTTGAAACTCCAGTTTCAGTTCCAAGTCAAAAATGAATTCAAAGAACTCTGAAGATGGAAGATGCTGCTTTAAGACAGGGTCTAGCTATGTAGCCAAGGTTGGCCTCAAATGGAGTTGTGTTTCATACTGTTTTCTTCCTTTCCTGCCTCTATCTCCATGGTGGTGGGAACTTGGAGAAAAGGAATATGTTTAGATTGCCTGAAATCCATGTTGCATCCAAATCCATGTTTCATTAAAAACTTGTTTTTAATGAGGCATGCTGGGTTCTGCTGGAAACTGGGTTAACCTCCCATTGCACAGTCCCTTGCTCAAATGAACATGGTTTAGCCTTGTCTCTACTGACCTCTTAGGCCCCCGACTCCCAAGGAAGAATACCTAGTCTTCTTGCTGTTAGAATTTCCTTTCTCTGCGTCAAAAGGTTCAAACCTGGACAGCACTTTCGGTCAGTCAAATGGTGAGATATAATATCACACCCTCACCAGGTCAAATGGGAAAGTGCACTTTAATTGAGTTCCACCCATCTTTGGCCAGCAGTTTCTCTTCAAGGCTCTCTCCTCCTTTTTGGTAAGTACTAGGTGATACTGATAAATCTGCCTATGGATGAGATTACAGTCCCTAAAGTTCAGAGATGCTTTCGATTTCTCTAGTTGATGCTATTGAAGCCTTAGTCACCTAACATGGAATGGGATAAAGGAGGAGGGAAGAAAAAGATGGCATTGAGGAAGACATGGCTTCAGGGATACAGAGGCAGAACACTAGTTTGAGGCCAGCCTGGGCTACATATTGAGACTTGTCTCAAAAAGAGTCAGTAGCTGGAGATGTATTTCAGGGGTAGAGTGCTTTGGTCCTTAGTGTATGTACACACAAACACACAAACACACACAGACATGGAGGAAGAGGAAGAGCAGGTTTCTGGTATGAATATTGGTAGTTATTTAGGAGCTATTCAGTGTTCTTTGTTCGCTCCTTTGGACTTCGCTCAGCAGCATATACTAGCGGTAACTTCCTCTGTCACAGTGTTACACACATTACACAGGTGACAGCCTTCTCAATCAGCGTTACACACTCTTCCACAGTGACACCTACTCCAGGCTTACATACTCCTACACAGGGTAGATTTATCTGTTCACAGTGACGCAAGTCTTACATAGGTGGTGACTTTATTATCGTCACATGTTCTTATCCAGATACGGCTTCTTAACCTGCTACAGTGTTCTTCGTTCTCATCAATTCTCAAATACTATTAGGACAATGGTACTAGCACATGGCCTTTCCCCCAATTAATTCCAGTTTATCCCTCCTTTATACTTTTATATACATTTCTAAAGCTTCTTGACAAATTGCCTCCAATCATAGTTTGGGGATATAAAATTTATTCTAACATGTTTTGCCTCTAATCTCATTCACTCGATCACTTATTCACTTCAGGTATTGAAATAAATGCTGTAAATTAAGAAAACAATAGGTCCTTTTCTGTATCACCTGGTAGTAGGGGCGATGGTTAAAATAAGACACTGAACATGAAACAAAGACATGCAATTACAAAGCATTATGGGAGAAACAGTAAATAGAGGAACTGTGGGTACTGTGTAGGTAGAGTAGGAATACTTAAATAATGCATCAAGATCTTTTGACACTTGAACATTGAGGAGGCAGGCTTAAGAATAGGCAGCAGCCAGGCAAGGTCACACAGCAGTGCCTCTGTCAAAGGCTGAAGTGGGCGGTGATTAACAAAGAATTCAAAGTTATGACCATGATTAAGCATTTGAATGAACTGCAAATGAGGGTTTTAGAAGGAACATGACTTCTTTCTCTTCTCTTTCTTCCTCTCCCTCTCATACACACCCTCCAACACACACACACTTTTTTTTTTTTTAAAGAAAAACAGGGTCCTGCTAGGTGGCCTAAACTGACCTTGAACTCATCATCGTTCTGTCTTGGCCTCCCCAGTGCTAAGATTACAAGTGTGTATCACTATTAACCACTCGCAGTTTCAAAATATTCTTGTTTTATGGGGCATATTGAGAGAGCCAAGAAGACATCAAGTTAGTACTTGGACATATGTGCATAAAAACTGAGGGACAGGTGGAGCTGCAATCAAAATGCTTGAGTCAATGTAACCATTTGTAGGGCTTCAGTGACAGACTGTAAAGAGAGACAAGCCACAATTCTCCAAAATACTCTTTTTATTTTTGAATCTTATAGGTAACACTCTGAAACTCTGGGGAATTACTTGACTCTTGGTGTCCCTCATCTTTATGGAAATTAGCAACATTTTAAGCCTATACTTTTGACTATGAATTGATACTACATTCATTACTGAAATTCCATTTTAAAAGCACTAGAAAGAATCTGAGTAATGGAGCCGTGAAAAATTTAAAAACTTAACAGTACTATTTTGCATGCCTGATGCTTCCAACTCACCTAAAATATGATAAAACTAGGAATGTTCATGGCAGATGTGAATGATATTATGAAAGAGCAGACATTACTTTGTGACTAGTGGGACATACGGAGCTAGGGGACGATTCTGAACAACAACAACAACAAATGGGAGGAGACTGATTTTTAAAAGTGGCCAACCAATATCCCTGAGAGTGCACTAGTGGCACACATATACTGGCCGAAACCCAACAGCTCTGTAGCTCCTCAAGTGGGCGTAAGGCCCACCAAACAAGAAGGAAACCATTGTAAGTATTGGAAACCTAGCCAATTACCTGGTGTTGGTGATGTCATGGATCTTGAAGGAGAATCTCCAGCTGCCACATTACTGACGCAGCAAATCCTAACTACATCCCAATATTAATCCTTATACCCTCAGATAAAGACAGATCTCACCCTTCATCAAAGAAACTTTTTCCCAACAAATGGAGACCATTCCAGAAAACCACATCAAACGCAGAGAACAAGGACTTATGTGATGTGTTCAGCCCCAACTGATACATCTACAATCCAGCTCCTGGATCACAGTGGATCAAGAGGTCGGAAATTATAAGTCACAGGAGGACAGGAAGTTTGCTCTGAGATGATTTCCTAGAAAGGTCAGAGAAGATACACCCATGAAGTCTCAACAGTATGGCTGCCTAAACAAGACCTGAACAAGGAAGACACCAATTGACATGCTAACCTGGAAGGAGTAAATCTCATGGGGGTCTCAACAATTGACAAAGAACTGAAGGCAACTAAGGGATGCTAAAATTGGGAAAATAGTCTTCCCCAGAGAAGAGCCCCTAAATTGGTTATCCAATATCAAGTGGTCAGCCCTGAAATTATATCCACACCGGTGACATTAGACAAACTAAAGGGCTGTATTTATATATTTAGGAACACACACCTAACTAGAGAAATAAGGCCATGATTTTGAGAGAGAGCAAGGTGGGATGCACAGGAAGGATTGGAGGGAAGAAAGGAAATGGGGAGAATGATGTAACCATACTTTAATAACAAAATTTAAGGTGGCCAATACTTGACATAGGCTTTACATAGTAGGTAGTATTAATACACAGTTGCCTCTCAATTGTCCTATGAACTGACACTATTATCTTAATTTTACAGATGAATAACTTGATGGTGAAATCAGTTGAAAAGCGAATTGGAAACAGTTTAAATGACAGTAAGGCACATGGGAGTGTCACAATACATAACTAATACATGTGGTGCTTTAAGGCAGCGGTTTAGAACTGGGAACCTAGATTTGGGATTTATAAAACTATCAGGCAAAATTTTTATTTGATGGGAACACAGAATGTTAAAATTGGGGAGAAAAAACTTCTTCCCTCTTTCCCTTGGAGAGAATGTGGGGGGAGAGTTGTAAGCTGAACCGTGGGAAATATTTAGTGACAGAGGACTGAGCAGAAAATCAAGGGATTATCAACAGGTCTTGGTAAATAATTAAACACAGAATGTGAGAGAGGGAGGAGTAAGAGGTGACTAAGAGGACAATGAAACCATTAAGGGGCAAAGGTCATTTCTGAAGATTATATATGTACTAAAATATAAAAATGGACTATTTCAAGAATAAAGCCTAAACTAGGAAATAAAACCCAGGAAAAGCACACAAACTCTCTTGTCTGGCTGCAACTTTCTTCATCAGCACTCTTAACCTTACTTCCTTTTTTTAAAACTCCCTACCAGTGATCAAGACACTAACTTGTAGGTGGCAGAAAAGCTGCCATTGGTTTAAGCAATAAAACAAACACATTCAGGAATTTATTGATTAATTTAACTGAAATTTCCAGAGTAATCTCGCCCACATTGATTTCAGGGCTCAAGTATCTAGGTTACATCTCCATCTTTGAATCAGCTTTTTTTTTTCTTCGTGGTGCCTTCTTTTTTACTAGTCACACAGGAAAAGGCTCTATTTTTCCAGATTCAAATCCATTAAACAGTCTTCTTGGCAGTAACTGCCAGCCTGAGAGAGAACTCAAACAAGGTTTCCTCTTTCCTAGTGTCTGGCCTGGACCACAGGGACTGAGTGGAGAATGGGTAAGTTCTTCAAAGGAAATGAATCAGAGCAGCAGATGAATGTGAACAGCAGAAATGTACATTAAGAGCCTTTCGATGGCTAAATGGACTAAGAATGCTCCAAGGAAAAGCTTCCTTGACAGGGTCTGGCTCTGTAGCTCAAATTAGCCGAGAATTTGGATTCTCCTTCCTCAGCGTTCACATTGCTGGAGAACGCAGTTAAATTCCCTAGTTTTAAAGTTCTTTTAAACATACACCAAGAATTCAATTTTACTGAGGATTACCTTGGAGGATTTTGGAGCTAAAGAGTACAGGTTTGCTTATTTCCTTCTGTTTCATTTTTAAAATAAATTGATTTTTAAAATAAATTGCTAGGAATTAGGACTCCAAAGGCATCTTTCTTTCCCAGTAATTCGGATGCAGTGGCCAAGAAACCAGTGTAAACTAGGGTCCTGGTTCATCGCTAGCGCCATGCTCATCTCTTACGGCGTCTCCTGCCTTTTTATGAAAGGAGCAAACCCATCCCGATCTTTTTGCCTTCCCGGCTGCAGCCGAGGTCACTTGGGTCGTCCGAGCCCACCTCCGGGGAGCAGCCGGCCTAGGGCGTCCCTAGGAGCCGGGGAACCGAGTGCCCGACAGTCCACGCACCTCCGGGAGAGGAAGCCGAGCACCGGGCTGGAGAAGTCTAACTTGGCTAAGGCCGAGCTCTCCCTGCCTCTCCGGCCGCCGGCTCCCACTCAAGGGGAGCGCCGCAACCCGGGGGACCGCGGGCGGCCCAAACCGCAGGCGGCGGCCGCACCCTCCGCCAGGCCCCGCCTCCCGGACCGTGCCGCGAAGGGGGCCCCGGGGCATCCCGGCTTCCCTGTGGCGGCCGCAGAGCGAGCTCGCGGCGGCCTGCGGGAGTGGGGTTTCCTCGGCCGCCCGGGATCCCCAGGCGCGGCGCGGCGCGGCTCGGGGCTGCCTAACGGGGGGGAGAAGTCGCATGCGCGCCGGGACGCGCCGGGGAAAGGCGGCCGCGAGGGGAGGGGCGAGCGCCGAGCCCGGCCGGCCGCGGAGCCCCGTGCCCACGACGCATGCGCCGGGAGCGAGCGCAATCTCGGACTCGGCCGGCGGCTACCGGCCGGAGAGAGGAAACCCCGGCCGGCGAGAGCGCGAAGGAAACCTGGCCGCCGCCGCCGCCGCGCGCGCTCCCGGTGAGTGCGCCCCGCCGGGTGGGCCCCCCGGCCCGAGGCGCGGCGGGCGGCTGCCCTCGGCGGCGCATGCGTGCTCCCGGGGCCGGTGGAGGAGGGGAGGGAGCCGGGAGGGGGAGGAGCGCGGCGGTAGCGGTGAATTTGGAGGGGTGGGTTGGGGGCGCGCACTCGCCGCCCCAGGCGCTGCGGGCTCCGGGAGCCGCGGCGTTTCCCCGGTCGTCGCGGCCCTGTGGTCGCGAGTCCCGGCGGCCGGCGGCCCGGGTGAGCGGAGGGAGGAAGCCGGAGCCCCGAGCGGCCGCGCGGTAAGAAGGCGGGCGAGTGCGGGTGCCGGAGCCCGGGGGCGGCGTGTCAGGCCGGGGCCGGGGGGTGGGGGGGGGGGG